ACCCCATTGCCACTGTCATATGTAACCACTTAGATCCAATTATTTGCTAAACTGCAAGCAATCTTGGACAATAGTGTCTATAATTGAGTGGGTTTCATAATATGTGATATATAAAAAAAGAAAAAATCTGATCACAACCAGGAATCTAAAGGCTCTTATGTTCCGCCAAGAGGACAGAGATAAAAGAGATGTAAGAAGAAACAGAGGGCGCTAAGGTAATCCAGAGAACTTCCACTCAACTACAAAGGTATTCTTCTTCTATGGCGAAGACGCCGCCGTATTCTCTGGCTTCCATTACTCCACTTGCACTGTTACTTCCTTACTTTATATTACAAATGTGTTTAAGCAGACTGTTATCTACTTTACAAGAGTGACTTCAACTTTCCAACTGAGTGCTGCTACAGAGTGTAAAGATTTTTTTTTTTTCCTTTTTAAGCACCAGTTTTGGCTATGCTCTTCTTTTCCAACATTATACGACTACAACTAACAAGTTTACAAGATCAGGCATGAAATTTATGTCTCTTTATAAGCTAATTGATCAATTAATATCATACACAACCTCTACCATGACTGCAACTACATATATCTTCATATTTACCTCAGAGCACACTCCTTCAGCTGCTTGGTACAGTCAGTAATATCTGATAATAGGTAACAGGAGTCACAGCTGTTCAATTTGCCCAGTCAAAGTAATGGTTTTTGATCCTAATGAGAAGAAATTGAATCAAATCTATTGCTGATCCCAAAAGTGCAGCTGTTGATCTATAGCTTAGGTGGTCTCAGGCCAAACCATGAGTGCAGCCACCTATTAATTTTTCCTGTGACTATAAACCTTCTCCAGCATCCCAAACTTTTACTTATACCTCTCCATATCACAGGCTGCCAGGAAAACAGGATTCCTAATATGAGAAGGCAGCAATAACAACAATAGTAAAAAAAATCCACATCCTCTTTGTAGTCATAAATAATAAAAAAGCCATCACCCTCCTTCTTGTACGATGTCAATATCACTATGTCTAAAAGGAGACTACGTTCTTGGCATTGCACTTAACCACAAGACAGCCTTTCTTTCTGTGCACTATTAGCTGGGGCTTGACCTGCTCCCCGAAGGCCACAGTGTCAGAGGTGGAGTGTTGTGAAAGCACAAGCTGCCGCTGGCTCTTACAGCGCTTCCACACCCAGCTGACCCCACCGACTGAAAGACACACACACACGCACACAAATGCATACCATCGAAACGTACAGGAGCAGCTCTGCTTTAGTGAGTCCCATTAGACATTTCAACCTCTACTTTAATGAACCCCCCCCCCCCTCTAAATCCTCTCTCTGTTCTGCCCACCCCCTCCCGATCCCAGAGCCAACCTTGCGGCACACTCCAATGTTAGCGACTCAGCATGTTTTCAGCGCGGTGCGGACGCGCTCTCAATCATCATTAGGGGTTTTGCGGAGTCCTGGGGTCTGGGCAACTTGCCAGCATGTGTAAAAGTTTCCATGAGGAAAGCCTTGAGTTGCCTTCAGAAGCATCGGTGGTGGAAGGAGATCTTCAGGAAGGCTAGAGTGCCTTTTTTGTTGCTGGAGGGAGGGCAGGAGGAATGGAGGAACCAACAACAATTCTGTTTTCAGTTTGAGAAAACAAGCCTGGGAGAGTTTCAAATGCGCAAAACCTTGAATTGAGGAGGAAACAATCACAAGGAAAACTGCTCTGTAACACGGGGCAATCAGAGCACATATGTCAAATGTCAGAAATCGGCAGAGGCACTCTGAGCACTCTGTGTTTTTCTTATTTTGGGGAATAAGGGCCCTCTGTTTCCCAGAGAGGCAGCTGGTAGAAATCTGGTGCTCTGATTAGCACTAGTTCCTTTGCTGTGCGCTGCATTCAGCTGCATTGCATGATATCACCCATCACAGCGGCAGCTAATGAGACAGGACACACGGCAGCCGCCTCACAGGACCAAACGCCTAGCCCTGCCAGCACACCACTTCTGCTCTACACACACACACACACACACACACGCGCGCACACACATGTCCACTGCAAAATACCTATAAACAGCAGGAACAGACTTCCAAGTGAAGGGTTTTTGACGCTTAAAGTGGACTACAGTTTCCAAAAATTGTGTGAGAAAGTGTGTGTGTGTGTTTTTCTGTGTGTAGATGGACGTGAGCCACGGGTTGTTGGAGACAAGAGGGGGTATGATATCACCAGAATTGCTCCTTCAGACTTGTGACAAAGCATGCCGTCATTGTAGCATTTCTTTTTTTGGCTTAATTAGCGCGGCTAACAAGGCAAACGTAAATGCTTTTCATAAATTCTATTGTTACATGCGCTGATGTCATTTGAATGGCGTTTTCGCTCACAGTCATGTGCCTTGTAAAGCACAGATAGTGGAGCTGTGAGTAAGTACGAAATGTCTGAAAAACGTTGGTTTTATGGTGAGCCCCACCATGCCTTGTTTATAACAGTGAGTCAACAATACAGCGAGTCTTCCAGCAGTGTTGGGTGTTTCTTCCTCTTCATGCTTTCTTACCCTCGCTGATGTTGCTTCACTAACAGGAGTGAGAAGGGAGACCGAAGCAGGTGAGAGCTGCTCTGACATACAATTGACTGACGACTGGAGTCTTCCTGTAAAACCTCACTGCAGACCACCAGAATCATCACCTCATGTCTCGCCTTGTAGATAGTAAGTTTCTATCACAGTAGAGGGAAGAGTTTAGCAGATTACAGCGGAGACTATGTATGGCAGTCAGGGGGGTTTACATCCCAGACTCCTTGCATACTAACCAAGCTCCTTGCGGTACAGTAGCTCACCGTTGATAAGTTGAGTGATTTCTCAGGGGCTGCGTAAAATCTGGGCCTGGCCAGAGAGACACATTTCCTCTGGCTGATGAGAGCCGGAGGCCTCAGTGTTCGAGCGTGGGAGGCACTCCACTCTTGGGGAAGCTCAAGTGTGCTCCCACAGACTCCAAATCACCGGCCCCCAATTGCTGGGGAGGAACGCTACTCTACATGGCTGGCGTTAAATCACTGCTGCTGTGGTGAGGTCATCCGCTTGTCTTCCTTCTCTAATGGAGCGCTCAGCTTGCTAACGTACGGCGGTAATGCGTGTGGACGGGGAGCGGGACGCCCTGTGAGCTGCTTTCCAATCTTATTTATTTTAGCTTAGAGCTCATTTGAGGGGTCTGAGATAGGGCCGGGCCCCGGGAGCAGCAGATGCCTTTGCAGTATGCTGTTACCACCGCACACTTACCAGGAGTCCGGGAGCTCACCACAGATGCTTGTGCAGACGTTAGGTGATGCAAAACGGCAGCACAGGGCTGCTCCACTGTCCTTGGTCAATCAATACACATTCCTGTGCGTCCCTAATGCAACTGTAATCACTGGCTGAATACATTTGGCCACCGCGCTGGAGGAGGATTGAGCCTGCTAAAGTGACAGTGGATGGAGTAGTGGGGAAGACAAACAAGGTTACATGATTTCACCCTCAGCACTGCTATGTACATTTGCTGTATCTTCATGGAGTTGGTGTAAAAGGACCTCTGGCCAACCTTACTGCAAAACGCCAAGTAAAGCTACAGTTTCACTTTATTCAATTAATGCTGAAATTAAAGCCTCTGCCTGGCCAAACTATTACAAAGTTCAAATCAGAACCTGTTTTCCAAATCAGAATTTCCACAGCATCTGGCATCGCTGTGAACTCAAGAACAGGAGACAAGAAAAAAGAAAATTAAAAAAAAAAAAAAAAAAGGAAAGAGGAAAGAAAAAGCTGAAAATCAGTTTATAGAGCTGATAACAGACAGACACCCTCCCTTGTCTTTGTATTGTGTGTTTATGAGGTGAGGACTAATGGGACTCATCAGGGCTGACAGATATGCTGACAACTGCATTTCAACTCAATTACAGTTCCACAGCAAAACTCCCCTGGTCCCCTCATGCCTATCACCCCTCTACTCCCAGAGCTGTTGAGTGAAGTGTGCACACACTCATGCATGAACACAAGCACACACACACACACACGCACACACACACACACACACCGCACACACACACACACAACATCAGTTTACTGAACAAAAGGTGCACAGGAAGGGTAATATTCCTGAGTTCAATGTTGAGTTGTCTACCTCCCCACCTCTATTAGGATGCAGGGGGATTTTAACATTTCAAACTGGCCCGATGCCATTGCTGTGCTCTATGAATATATATCATAACAACAAGTGGAGCCTCTGCTAACACAGATAACAGGTTGGCGACCTGAGAGACATAATGTGAGATGGACACAGGAGGCAGTAAACCCGACCATATGGTCCCTTGGGTGTGACTGGTTTCATTGCCAGAGGGAGACCAGTGACCCCACAGTCTCCCCTGATGACGACAGCCACATGGTGTCGACTCTGTGGGGAAAAGACGGGAAAACAAAGCCTCTGCCTCCTGCATCCCAGCATCCCTCCCAGAAATATGAGGGGGGGGAAAAAATGGCTCGGTTCAGGAAACCCCTACCCATTGTTTTGCTTCCTTCATTAGTCGTTGTGTCAACAGTTTGGCTGGCCACGCGTGTGCCACTGTTTTTGTTCAGCTGCACCCCGGCTGACCTCAGTGCTCTGATGTTTTGACAGATTGTTTCAGAATCCCATCAAGGCAATTTACTGTTTTAAAGTAAAGCGGCCACTTGGACAACATAAGCTGGAACGCGCGTTACACCAAAAGTAAATAAATTGCCGCGTCTAAAATTAAACAAATGTGACGTAAATCTGCAACCAGGATTTCATCAGGAAATACTGAGAGGTGCAGCGGGGCGCGGCTGTGTGTGAGGGCCAGGAGATAAGCAAAAGGTGTTAAATAAATGTGATGTGCTACGTAAACAGCCGTTTTTTTTGGCATGGACAGTGAGCTCATATAGAGAAGCTTTCATCTAGAAAAACAAAATGCCTCTCTTTGGTCAAATAATTACCAAGTGGAAACTTGCAAGCAATGTGTGCACACCTTGTTTCTGGTAACTTACCATCATCTAAGTACATCTGGTCCAGTTCCTGTGGCTCCTGTTTGACGGTGATGGCCATCGAAGGGGGGCTGGCGTCCTCAGGTAGCAGGCTGGGTGGGCTCCCTCCGGCCTGGGCTGAGCTGGCTGCTGCCTGAACCTGACTGGGGCTGTAGGCCTGAACGAACGGGCTCTCTGCAGTCCCACCGGGAGTGGAAGGGTGGGACACTGGGGAGGACGAGGGGCTGCTGTTGGCATAGATAGGGTGGTAACCATGGGGTCCTGGGCTGTTGAGGTGGCTGGGACTGCCCTGGGAATGGAGCATCCCTAGGCAAGAGTTGTGGTCTGGCGAGGCTGGGTGGGCGAGGTTAGGACGGCCAGGGGTCTCCTGGATGGGGGGCACAACAGAGCCTGGCGGTGCCGCATGGGTGGGGCTGCTGGGGAGGCACTTGCTGTATGCCACGGGGGATAGGTCATGCAGGGTGGGGCTGGAGCTGGGAGACGACGATGGAATGGCAGCATGGCGAGGCGGGCAGGGAGGGTAGGCGCCGACCAGGCAGGCATCAGGATCGGCTACAGGCATGATGGGAGTGAGCCTTGGCTGGCTGTAGTAGGGCTTTGAATGCATGGACAGCCCTGCAGTCACCAGAGAATCATATTCATCACTGGGTTCTGTCTTTATTACTGGCACTGGGGGGGGAAAAAAGTAGAAAGAAAGGTGGAGATATTAAAAAAACGTGCTGGGGATCCACGTGGCGCAATGAGTGCACGAGCAAGGCTGAGTGAAGCAGTGAGCAGGCACAATTGTGGCCACACTACCCTCCATAATCCAAACAAACAACCACCAGTGGATATGGGCTCAGTGTCAACTTGGCCAAGTCCTTTAACAGAGAAACCCTCACGTCTTCCACCCGCCACCCCTCTTTACCACACAATGAAAAAAAAAGGAAAAGAATAGGGGGGGAAAGAAAAATGGATGAGTCATCAGTGTGGAAAGCCACAGCTGGCTCTAATAATGAATAAGACCTATTTTCTTTGGACTGTCCTCCAGCTCTGATATCCAATAAAAGACTACTTTAAAACACTGGGCTGCTGCTGCTGCTGTTGCCGCTGCTGCTGCTGCTGCTGCTGGTCGCGTAGCCCGGGACCCCTAGGTTTCCTCCGCACTCAAGGAGTAATTGTTTCTCTCAGGACCAAGAGATAGGAGGAGAGAGAGAGAGAGAAAAAAAGGAGATGATTTGTTTTTGATTAGGCCGCCTGAGCTCCTTAAGAGGCTATAGAGCTGTGCCTGTGGTTTGAGGAGCTTTAGGCCTCAGCTAATGCAGGAGTGTGACCCCACTTGATCATCCTGCCTTCTCTCCTCTAATTTCTAACACAGCAGAGAGCATCTGCGCCGCTTCATGATTAGTTAATGCTTCCTGTTCACTGTCAAGAGGAGTTAGTTATTGAAAACAAGGTGGGTTTTCTATTAACTGAAAATTTCTGTCTCAGTCTGTAACACGTTCACGAACTGAAATGTGTTGAGGGATGGGGTGGGATCCACATTAACAAGCTCACTGTTGTTATTATATAAGTACATATGCACAGACTGTGCCAACACAAAACTAATAGGGCAGTGTTAAGATACCCAGATGCATAGCAAAGGCTTCTGAGTCACAATAGACACACTGTTTCTATTTCTACACATTGTTAAAATGTGTTAATGGGTGTGGTGAGCGTTTGATGCCAACCATTAAGAGTTTTTGGCTAAACTTGCTCCGAGTGACATTTATTCAAAGGCATACAGATGTCAATATGAATAAGATGCCTGTGTAAACTGTGTGTTTGAATTCAAACACAGCAGAACCTTTGAGTGATAGCAAAAAGCAAAGGTTGCAAAATGAAATGTGTGAAGCATGAGTGTGTCATATGAAAAACAGGCTGTTTTTCAAAGTGTTATTATTTTTGTGGGAGCTGGATTTGAAAAGACATTAATCGCGCCTGTGGCCTCCGGGGTGCTGAGCTGCGGTGCGGTGATAATGCAGCAGGGAGCACATTTACGTCAGCCCTGTCTGCTTTCAGAGCCCAGAGACCGAGCCAGGTGTCTGGGGGAGCATCGTAAGGCGAGTCCCATGATGCACAGGCCTCCTCTTCGCAGCCTGGGGAATAACAAGCGGGTCACATGGTGCGCACCACATCCACAGACGTTTCCTTCCAGTGATTCGCTCTCTCTTCACTGCCTTCTCTGTAGTGTGTAAGGATGGCACAGGGCCACGGAGCCAGCAGTGTGATGTCAGAGTCGTCATGTGGAAATGTCACAACCAAATTTCATCATTTTCACATTTTAGCTTCGGCTCAGGAGCTGCTTTGTCATCTGGGCTGAAACAAATTTATGATGTTTAATAAAGTCAGAACATTAAATTATCATCACGCCTGCTGGAGCCTGAAAACTGACAAACTGTTAGTGTATGTAAGGTTTTCTTTCAGCCACTGGATGAGAGGAAAAAAAGTTTTGAAGTTGCACTTGGACAAAGGAAATAAGTAAGTAAGTTTGAACTGAACAAAAGCACAGTCATCTTAACCAATCCTTCTGGTTAGTGATGATTTATACCAAAGAAAACCAAAGGGCGCTTTCTCAACTTTTTAAGATTATACGGTTCATCTTGCGTCACAAGATTTCCTGCCTGTGACCATAGTGAGAATTTCATTTGGAGAATCAGCAGTATGTCAGGAGGAATGGGCTGTTCTTGTCCTTTGAAGCTCCACTTGGTAAACCAGTCAGAGAAGACAGTTGTTGTTTTTAAAGATGACTTTGGTTTATGGCAGCTAAAGGTATTTCTTTACAGTGAAGTAACTTGTAAACATAAGACTGGCAAAATAAAGAAATCAAATCACATTGGGCCTTTCTTCAAAGATTTATTCCAAGATCCGCACGTCTATGCTACAGATGTAAACCAAGGTCTCCCTCCAGCTTGATCCATCTGGGTGTCTCCTTTCCACTTTGTATGTGAGCTGAGAAAACAGATTCACCAGGCGAGTCCCAACTTCAGCTGGCTTCTATTTCCTCCCAACCTGTGGGTTATGGCCCACAGACAGATGATGGTCTGCACATGGTTTTCTCTCCATCTCTGGCAGTTCCCCCTCTGTCTGCTCGTATTAAACTGATCAGGCCTGATCTGTGTATTTTATAGAGCACTCGTTTCCTCTGAAGGGAATGACATAGATGTCACAGACATAGATGTGTGTCTGTGCCTGTCTCGGTGTATTTGATTGCAAAGGTCAAGCAAACAGGGCTTATGAGGATTTGTAAATTATCTTCAGAAGGAAATCCTCTCTACTTACAGCCATTGGGCAATTGGTTTCCTGTGATACAAAAGGTTCTGATTCGCATTTCTCATGCTCATTGGCCGGGATTTGACATTGTCATGCCACTGCGGAAAAACCAGGGCTCGTCTTGTTGCAGAAATGCTGAACTCATCTTGTTCTAACTGCATGAATCTGCAGTGACATTTAACATGGAGCAGGTGGTAGTTCATTAACTCAAAGGTACCTGGTGCACCATGTCCCACTGTGTATGCAATCTGGTCACCCAGCATACTGTGGGCCTTAGTGTACCATAGGTGAGTCTGACAAAGCCCAAAGCTGTAGACATGACAGAAACAGTTCAGTCTTTGTCCAATTTTTTTGGAAAAACATGACTGTGCAAATATTTACGAAAAAAAAAAAAAAAAGAAAAAAAAAAAAAGAACAATGTGTGGTTCATTAACTTTTCCTGTATGTGTCACAGAACATGTTTCTGACTCTCTCCTCCCCAGCTCCAACCACAAACCAGTGCAGGGTGCAAGGGTGGGGGAGTCAGCACCCGTTTGCGTTAAGAATAGAACTCGATATTACAGAGGAATCTCCAAACGGCCTGTAAAAATAAAGGGGTTCCGAGAAGTTCTTCGCTCGAGCTTTCGGTCACTGCCAGCACTTTTTTGGCGTTTGTTGTTTAATGTGGTTGGTGAAAACTGTTTCTTATTTGAAGAGCAACACGTCACGTCTCTACTCACGCAAGAATGATTGGAAGGGATCTTGGAAAAGCGAGGCTCACTCCGGGAGCCAGACAAGGACACTTGTACTGTACGTACATCTCAGCATCACAGACAAGCACTTAGGCTGGAACCACAAATGCTGCTGATGGTATATCTCAACAGCAAATCTCCTCTTGATCCATTGGCTGAAGACAGCTTCAGCTCATATTCAATAACTCTTGAGCAGCAAAAAATTGCCTCAACTGGTATGTACATTTTATGTATTTAACTTTCTTTAAAATATTCTTTAAAGGTCCCATATTGTATAAAGTGAGATTTCCATGTCTTTTTTTGATCATAAAGCAGGTCTAGGTTCTATATCAATACTGTGAAAGTATCAAAGTGCTCAGTCCACATAGAGAAATGCCTGTATTCAGAAACTGAGCCTTAAAATGAGCTGTCTGGACTTCCTGACCTTTGCGATGTCACAACAAAGCAGTTACCGCTCTCCGAGCCTCCTCTCTTCTGATTGGCTCATCGACCTGTTATTGCCGAGCCGGAGATGTTAAACTACATTGAGATGGTTTTTGGTTCTTAAAACTGCAAACATATCTTCTCATCATGACTTCAAATAAAACACAGGAAAAAGTGTAAAATATGGGACCTTTAAAGTTTCCTTTCATATTTCTGGAAAACTACAGGTGAAGCTCTTGTGCTCACTGAAGCACAACTAAAGGATTCACTGTTCATAAAGGCACTTGACCTATGTGCTCACTGACATACTGTATTACACAGTGCGAGGTCAAATTTCTAAATCCTCTTTTAACTTCACAATGCATTATTATGGCAATGTTTCAACAGGTCTGCAGCGCCCCTCCACTCATATCACTCAAGCTTATCTTTGTGTGTCAGCTCGTAAGAGTGAGAGCAGCTCTGTTTCCATTACAGACTACATCTGATAATAATATGTTATAATTCTGAAGGCAAGGCCTGGCTGAGAGAAGATAAAAATCTCTATTGAAATGACATGTCTGATTTGAACTGAGGGGAAAACACGCAGAAAATTTCATCCTGGTGTATTCAGTTCCTCAAATGCGGGCATCAGTGTTCAGCCACAGTAGGTGTCAACTGCGTTTGCATTAGCGTCAAAGAATAACAAGGTGGTCACATGACCCGAGTGGAAAATAAAGGTGGTTTTCAGTAGCATCTGTGTCCCAGAGAGGGTTTGCTTCATCCTTCCGGTGTTTCAAACAACTCAGGCTATTTTAAGGGTTTGAGTTTGCCTTTTTATAGATGAGCAGACACCAGAGTGTGAAAGAAATGTTCTCTCTAAACAACGTCAGTGACCACAACTGTGCTTGAAGTGGGACAGCGGGCCGGAAGTCTTTTCATATGAGTGAGCAAAACAAAAAAAAAGCGTTGACAACAGTGTGTGCATGTGTGTATGCGAGTGTGTGGGTGTCCTCATCCCCGGCCCACCCTGAGTACCTGGCCACAATGCTGGTTGCTTCTCTCAGTGTTGACACACACGCTGAAACCCTCAAAAGCAAACAACTTCACTACAATTTCCTTCCCTTCTTTGTTGCTCCATTGAAACCATGAAAGTATTACACTCATCTGCACTACAGAGCGTCTGTTTACACTGATTATAACCTTTATACAGTGTTCTTTGTGAATGCTTCAGTCATTAGTCACTATGCCAGCCAGCATCAAGAGTAAGAAATAGTAGAAAAAAAATACATTATTGCTATTTATATTTCTATTTTTATTTATAATTATAACCTCAACTCCAACTCTGTAATGACACATTAGACTATAATACATGTTAGACTGCTTGGTGTGTTTTGGTACTGAAATGAGATTCTGCACCCAGAGCAATTCTTCCTCAGCTCTTATTCAGCTCAGTTGTAATACTAGACTCTCAAACAGAATATTTGTTTTATAGAAAGATGCTGTTGTATATTTAAATGTGTCTTCAAAAGAATGGTAAATCTCAAAATAGAACTCAATATCCTGTGATTCATGATCTCTTTGGCTTTAGCACTTGTGAGTTAATTACGCTCCTTTGACAAGACGTTGGCCCTGCTTGTGTGGTCCACACTGTACTTGTGGTTTACTTGGCAGTGACGGAGAGAACACAACAAGTCATCTTTTAATTAGAGCTGTGTTTATGCTCAGGGAAACGACTTAAGAGATGCATAGTGGAGGATGATAAGCCTCTACATATCTTTCTCTTTCTCCGTGGCAGTACAGTGTATGAAATTGATATGCTGCATAAGGCCACAGTTAGTCTTCCCCACTTCGGTCCAGTTACCCACAATGCACTCGTTCATCATACAATCAGGCATCTCCAAATAGGGCCCTGCTCTACTTTCTCTCAGAGCTTCGTCCAGTATCCCACTTATCACTTATCTCCCGTGGCCATAAATACATCTGCTGATAATTTAAATGTCACATCTTGTTAACGGCTGTAGAGTTAAAACACAATGCATGCTATCCCAGCAGCATTAGACCCATTAGACACTGATCAATGAAAACAAGATACCATTGTTTTGATCTAATGGATTTTCACTGGTTATCACAACAGGGAGGCGAGTCTTGCTGAATGGAAGGTTCTGGTTGGAGGTTCTAAACCAGCTGGGACAATGTGGGTGGAGAAATTTCACAAAAAACGAAACCCTCCTTTAATTGTTCAGGAGCCAGGAAAAGCGGTTTAGATCCTGGAGAAAAAGACACCGGGCTCCCACCTGCTTGAGTAAAGCTCAACAGTGTAAAAATGAGAAGCATTGTTTGATCAGTCAACCTTCTTTTGGATACATAAGATAAAATAACAGTCTTCTAGTGGGATGCTTGAAACTGATATCACAGCTGATATTTCACCTGTGCCCGCTGTGAAAAGTCAATAGCTCACAATGTGATGTTGGGGCTGAACTCTTCTCTAAACCTTCACCAATACATTCTTCAGATTCCAATGTGAAAGCCATCTATAAACACTGAGGCCAGGGACACATGATAAACACACACCGAGGTATTCCTGGGTTTTCAGGTTGCTACATGAATGACAGGCCAAAGCGCTGCTGAGTAGATAGGTGTGTGTGTGTGTGTGTGTGTGTGTGTGTGTGTGTGTGTGTGTGTGTATTTTTTGTGTTCATAGGTGCGTTGGTGAACCAGGGGGGCATTGTGTGAGGCGGGGTGTGAAAGTTAGGTCGCCGGGGGATTGACTTCTCTACATTAACAGCGCTCGGAGGCTCTGTCACTCAGCAGGTACACCTCATCGCTGGGGAACGCTGGTCTCACTACAGAATAAACACACCTCACATCTCCTGCTCTCACTCACAGGCTACAGTCAAGTGGTGCCAGACGTAAATGTGAAAAAAACACGGCCACAAATTTTCACATGGCATATTGACGGCTGCGGTAAACTATAGTGAATGGATGTCAAGACCCTGGAGAAATACTCTACGTGATGAATGTGGAGTGAGCTGCTTCTGAAAAGCACACATGTCCTTAAATGTCACTGCTGATAAAAAAAAAAAAAAAAGGTGGGAAATATTTATGATGATTACCATTAGGAGGCAGGTAGGTGAAGCGCTGGCACTGGCTCCTCTTCCTCTTGCCGTTGCAGACGTAGAAGTTAACGTGCACCGGGCTGGATATTCTCTGGTTTCTGTATGGTGGGATCTCCACAACAAGAGTACTCTAAAACACACAAAAAAAAAGATATTTCACCTTTATGAGATAAGACAGCTGCTGATACCATCAGAAAATAATGTCCTTTTGTTGTATTCACTCATCGCCAAACGTACATTTGTAATATGACCTCCTTCATCGTATTAATCAACTGCTGTGTTTACTTTGCAGCTGGCCTGCGTTTAGGGTACTGAACTGAGATCTGGTCTAAATGAGCTCGTCTGAACTGTGTAGACGCAGCAGAGCACGAGGCTGGTCCAGTGCCCGTGTTTGTTCCTGAGGAAAACCCCAGGGCTTTAGCTTTGTTCCTGTGCAGCACGAGAAGAGAGAGGTAGCCAGCGTATTTGTTTGCACAGCCACCCCCACCCCCCCCCGCGGAGAGGCTCACCTGTCCCACTCCCCACCCCTAAGGCCAGACTTCGGCAAGTCTGGACGGATGTGAACTTTCGACTACTTTCCTTCTGACAAGGAAACACGGATAGAATTTATCTGAGCGGTATTGTCTAATTCCTGGGATGGCTGTCACGCTCGTGGGGATCTAAACAGGCCAGAATGGGGCACTGGGACAGGAAGCGGGTTTTTGTCGGTCATCAGTTTGCATATAGGAAAGTGGGGAGGTCAAGTTGGGGTGGTGGTGGTGGTGGGGGGTGATGGGGAGTGGTGGCTGGGGGTTGTTGGAGCTGAGGGATCTGCATTCTCAGCCCCAGTCTGCCCGCCAGATGATGACAAAGAAAACACGCAGGTGGCTGATTGAGTGCGTTAAGTGTGTGCATGCACATGGCTTTCCTTCTCCAGCCTAGCCAATGAAAGTTAGCACGCTCTGGACAGCAATAAAAACACAGTCAGGAAGGCAGCCTGGAGCATTTAAAACTAGTCTGGTGGCAACAGACATAAGAAGAAGGCCAGAGCTCTCTTGCTGTCTCTCCCCATTTGTTTGTTAGCTCTACAAATAAACACACTGTAGTATTTGTCTTTCATCGACCTCGCCTCCCCACACCGCCGCCCCCGGCCAAGCCTTGCACGCCTGCTAATTTTCCAGCATCTGGGACTCGAGCCATAGCACATCAGCCAGCCCTACAGGCCAATTAGACAAGAGTCCATATTTACCCTACTGATGCAACCAAGTCATTTACCTGAGTGAAATAACAGCAACAACAAGGAGAAAAACACCCTCAAGTTGCAGCATTTAGATGTGGATGGTTTATTTTAGATCCTGTGCAAGTTTAAATTGCCTCAGTTAGTTTGCGAAAAAAAAAAAAAAAAAAAGGGGGGAGATGGAGGAAAGATGACACGCCACTGATGAAAGGACTGAGCATTTCAAAACATACTGTCATCACGCACAAGCAAACAGGTTCTTGCAGATCCTGTACTTTACTCTCCACACTGAGAACAGATCTAACAAACCTCAGTGAAATCTTAATTAACTCCAGAGCACAGGCAGCTTTCTGGGACGTGTACAACAACATTTGCTTCATTCCCTCTCTTGACAATTCCCTCTCACTCTGTTGTATATATTAACACAATCTCAATGTGTGACTGAACGTCAGTAAAATGAGCGCCCGGGTCTATTTTTTTTCATTACGGCTCTCATGAAAAGCAGCAGGTAAAAAGCAGGGGTGTGATTCGCTCCTGGCTGCATGATCCCAGCACAGACGAGGTGTTTAAGTCCAATTCGCCACACCACAACACTTGCGCTGTGAACTAAACGTCTGGCTATGCCGGGAGGGCTGTGGTGTGAGTGTGTGTACGTATGTGTGTGTGCATTTATGCTCCCAGTTTATAATCTGTGTTAAATGCAAAAACAATATGACAGCTTGTGTTTACTTTTGCGAGGGTACAGAGATTTTGTGAAAATTCCACTCAGGATTGCGTGGGCTAATCATCATTGTCTGTGTTGCAACTTGTAATGCCTTAGCAAAGGTTACATCATTACAGGGGACAGATGAGGAGGAGACAGAGAGAGGAGAGGAACAGAGAAAGTGTCAAGGGAGGGTGGGATGAAGACGGCAGGAGCATTTCCAATGAGACATGTCAGTGGAGGTGAACTTACAGATTTGACGGAGTCCTTGTCAACTTTGGCTTCTGTCTCCCACAGATGATGCCCATCTATTGACAAAAGGATAAGACACAAGATTTAGTATGGGTCATTATAAACTGCGTCATTAAGATGGACCTCAAATGGAGGCTGGAGATGATTCTCATATCGGTAGAGAGGAGAGGATGTGTGCTTTTGGGTGTGTTAGGCCTTAAGAGGCTTTATCTTTTAAGTCCGTGCAGTGCTGAAACAGTTAATGATTAGTCAATAATTGGATAATTGATTAATAGTCATCACGGTAGCGAAACGTCTCAAATGTGAGGTTATGCTGCTTCTCGGTGGCTTTTTTTAAAAGGTTAAAAAATAAAATGGTGATTTTATACACTACATTATTAGTCAGTTTATAAAAATTTGTCTCCCGAGTTTCAGCTGGGACTGGATCTCCACTCAAGTTCTGCACTATTCTCATCCCTTCATTAAATCCTTTTTTTCTCTTCTCCTCCTTTATTTCTATTCTTAACTCTGCTCTGTGAAATTACAAAAAAAAAAAAAAAAAAAAGAAGCTGCAGCTTTCGTTTGTTCTCTCTTTCTTCTCATCTCCATCTTGTTGTGGTGAGGAGGTTTCCCTCGCTGCCGTGCAATAAAAGGCTTGTGAGCTACTGCAGCTGTTGGGAGCCTGCAGAAGCTCAGCTCACATTCTTTGGGTTTTTCTCTGTGATTTCATGCCACACCTTAGTGAGGCTCTGGGCTCTGCTAGGGCAATCAGCAACAACCAAAGTGCCACTTTTTTTTTTTTTTTTTCCTCTTTTTTTCAGAACCGATGACTCATTAGGGCTGTCAGAAATAGAAGTGACACAGAACAGCCTTTGTGTCAGTGGCACAGCATGTGAGGCAATAGCACGGGCACTGTGGCACCGCCACTACTGCAACTGTGCCTTTATTGATACAGCAATACGGTCGCTGCCGAAAATGCTGCACTTTGCCTCTGGGACAGGAAGCCATCAGATAAGATAATCAGAGTCAGTTTCCAAACAGTCCGGCAGCTCTGGAAGATGTAAATCCCTTGTTTTTTTCCAAAGCATTATGTTTTTCACATCATGCGGCGAGCGAAAGAATAAAGGATCCCAGTCACGGTTGGCTTATTATTGGTGAGCTGTGGTCGTGGGGGCGGGTGGTCAGCTTTATTATTCAGAGAGTGAACATCAGTAGATATCTCTTTCCAAAATGGCCATATTAAAACTCATGGAAAGAGGAAAACAGACGGTGAATGGATCAGATAAGGGTTTTTCTATTTGAACTGGAGGAAATATGAGTTGCATATGGAGAAATGTGCCTCTCTGCGATGGAGATGATGTGGAAGAGAGGCAAGAGTGATATGCCTATAGAAATGCCACGGGGCACAGAAATGATATCTTGCACGTGGCGGGTGATTGAGATGCACTAAAGAATGAGGCCCACGTAACGCTGTGAAGCGGCCGTAAGAGTATGGAAGGGCAATTAGAGTGAGCACAGACGGGGAGAAGGTCAGAGAGAGGGAGAGAGACAGAGACAGACAGAGATGAGCGTTCCTCATGTTACGTCTAGGGGAACCAAGAGGGAATCTCACCCGCCTCCGCTCTGGGAGACACTCCAAGAGGGAAACCTTAGACTACGACGTCAACCCCAACCTCCTCTAGTAAACAACTTTTTCAAACTTTTCTTCCTCTTTTTTGTTCTTTCTCTACCTTCCTCTCACCTTCTACACCCCGAAACCTTTTTTGCTCTAGCGAAACTTACTTTTCTTACTCAGTCAGACTTAGCAAATCTAAAAGTGAGACTGAGTTGGGATGGGGCCACATGTGGCATACCTTTGCAAGTCGGAGAGCGCTGTACGACTGATAACCACAGAACTTTCCATTCACTCCTTCTTCCCTGCAACATCTGCAAAATGCTTCTGTTCCCGACAACACCTCCTCCTTCACGCAGCCTCCACCCACGCATAATGCTCACACACACACACACACACACACACATACACACACACACACACGCACGCGCACACACAAACACACAGATGCACACACACACAGATGCACAAACACAACTGCAGTATCCTCTACCTTTGTTCTGGCCGTCAACTTGAATGATAAGATTGGGAAGCACACAAACAATAGGTGGGACAGGAGCAGCGTCTGGAGAATCACCAATCACCATTAAACTGAGAAATGAAAGGACATACATGCGAGCAAATAGACAAGTACTGTGGAAATACACACACTTATTTTTAGTGCTTTGTGCTCAAAGGTAAGCCAGCAGTCTGTCTATTGCTCGACATGACTCACTTGTGAAATTGAGATCCACAAAGGCTAACACCAATACAGGGAGCCAGGGCAACACACTCATTCATCAGTTAATTAGACTGCATGTAAGGGTGAGGCTTCTTGGAGTCAGTTCTTGACAACGCACAATGTTGTGTACATGGTGAGAACACAGCAACACTGTTGCACATACAAGCAAATCCTCTAAGTTGTCATATTTTCAATGACTGAAGTTTGATTGATGATGAAGATGGTTATATATACAGTATATATGTATATTACATCCTGATTAGATTACTAACTTTCTTCTACAAAGACACAGATATCTGAGCAGTAACATCTTTGTCCTCACATTCACCTTACAGACTTTGGCTTTTCCTCTTTTCACATTGACAGCCAGAAGTGTCGTGTTGTGCACAACAACTTCCACGGCCCAAAGAGAGTTCACTTTAATATTTTTGAGAATGGAAAATATGATTCACACGCTTAATTGCGGAGGTTGCCTTGTGAAACAACCCAGAAGTATTTTGCAGCTATGTCTCTTTTCCAGAGATGATTTTCAGGAGCATTTTTTTTTCTCTCTTTCCTGTTTACATGTCAAGTTTATTTTCCGTTTTAGTACCAGTCTGCTGCTGCTGCTGCTGCTGCTGCTGCTGCTGCTGCTGCTGCTGCTGCTGCTGCAACGTGGACTGAAAAAGCTCGCAATAATTTTTCTCATATTTTCATGGCATTTACCTCATTGTCCGATGTGGAGCAAAGCCAAAAGGCCAAAGGGGTCCCCCCCCCCCCCCCCCCCCCCCCCCCCCCCATGACTGATCCCAGAGGTACAGCTGCTTTCCCCTCTGACGCACCTGGCCTCTGCCAATCTGAGGACTGCTGAAACTGGAGAAATGTGGGTCTGCATCGCATCAAGAGGCTTCCGTATAAATTATAGCCCGACAGTAGATTTGTGATGGGTTTATAGTCAGGAAGTGAGTTATTATTGGTGTATAACAGGGAAACTGTGAGCCGACTTGACCTGTGGGTGCAGCAGGAGGAGGATGGCGGGCCAGCAGAGTCCGATTTCTTCCTTTTATCAAGACTCCAGCTGTGTGGCATTGAGTCTGAAAATTATCTGCAGACTGATAGCGATGGCTGGAGGGTCTTCCACACTTTTAAATTTGTATAATATTTGTGTAGTCCAAAGGGTTCTAAAGGAGGACATCAAGGTTGGTTGCTTGCCATGGTGTTTTTCACAGTAGGGTCACAGCAAGACTCTTACTTACGAACCCTAAAACCGAAGGTAGGGTAGAAAAGGAGGGTAGGTATGTGTTGTATGTTGATAATTGGGCAGGGACTCTCAAATATGAAATCCTACGCACTGAGGAACACTTCATCAAGACATATCACTATTCTTATCATATGGTAGGGGCATTCCTTAAGACCTGCCTCAGAAAGAACAATTGTCCCTCCCTGATTTGAAGCGTGTATCTGTCTACAACGTGTTCAGACCAGTCAGAAGTAAAGGGTGGAGGCCACCAGACAATCTAGATGTCTTTCTGTTATGATACAGTTATGATACAGTTATGACCCAACCAGTTCCTTTGAAGGACGTACCCAAAGCAGGGGTCATACACCTAACTGACCACTGCCACTGACCACCAGCTGATAAATCATTGCATTATAAAAAAAAAAAAAAAAAACAACAAAAAAAACAAAAAAGAAAAACATGTGGGGGTGAATTTTCAGCTCTACTTCACAGAGGCTTCACCGTATAACAGGACCATTTAGGTTTAACTTTGCCTCCCCGCCGACACTGAACATTTACATAGTGCAGGCTGAGCTAGCTGAATGAATCTCATCAAAGGGTTTTCTCTTCCTAGAAAAGCAGCAGCAGTGGCTTCAGTTTATGGAAGATGTCAGATGAGGATGAGAGGTGAAGTCCCCTACCTTTAGAGGGTCTCTCCTAGAACTACATTCATACATTATCATCGATTGTGGTTTAATAAGCCATCCTAATTGTACAGGATACTGTAACTCGTGCTTCTCTAATCTCTAGCCTGAAGCATGGGTGGAGGCTGACTTCATGCTGTCATAGTGCTAAAACTACAAGCCGGGATCATGCACGTTATTCCAGCCTAAAGCCAACGGGCAGTCTAGACATACTGCTAGAAGTACAATGCCCCGACCAGGTTCTCTGGTGTTTAGACTTGCCCAAGGTAAAAGCGTTCAACCGAGTGTAAACTGTCTTTGAATGAACTCTAACACTACAGATGACAGTCTGTAAGGCCTGGGTTGTTCAAATTATCGAGGAATGAGAATCCAAATATTTCAGGAGTTTCCACATGACTAGAGTAATAACCTAGGGGTATTATTGTGGACCATACTGTCCTAATGTTACAGATTATACTGGAGCTCAGACTTCTCTTAGTCTTGGCTGTGAGCTGGACCAGCCTGAAGCAGAGGTGGAGAAGACCAGACTTCTCCCTGCTGCAGCCCGGGCTGTGTGGTGCTGCCGAGCTCCAGGCAACGCTCCAATCCAACCAGATGTAAAAACTATCCAGCTCACCAGGGAATTCCCTTACCTCTCCTCTGAGTCAGAGTGTAGGCTTTCCCCAGCTCTCTCTCTCCCTCTCTCTCTGTTTGTCTGTCTGTCTCTCTGTCTGTCTGTCTCTCTCTCTCTCTTCTATTTTCCCTGTCTCTAACACTCATTCCATCCATGGAAAGCAGGGCAAGCCAGAACACACACTGCAATAGGTGCGCCAGGTATGTCTTCCTACTCCTGTGCCAAAAGAGCGGTTTGGGCGAAGCGAAACACTGACACAACCTAAACACATAGACACAATAGGAATAACAGAAAAACTGAACCGTGCACAACAATGCAAAAGCAGATGGAAAGTTTCATAAATGCCCACATTGTGGCTTTGTGAGAGGTATGACTCTCCACTGCTGTGAAGAAAGAAATGATATGGCCTATTAAATATACATGTCAACAATAATCACTGTTAAAAAGGAATATTTACATTGCAGTAGAAACAAAAATGTGGACTTGAGGTTCTTCAGTCTATCATTATCTGGCTACAGTCTGATTAACTTGCTCTCCCTGCTTGAACTAAAAACACTGGGGGAGGCACTTATATCAATTCATGCGCTGGTGGGATGAATAAAGTTTATCTATAAAAGTCACATGAGTACATAAAACTTTTTTGTTGGGACCAGATGAATCTGACCCAACGCTTTCATTCACTGAACAAGAGGCAACATCAGGCAGTTTATATGCTCTGACATCTCAGTGCACAAGGTCACAAGATGGATTTCTAAGGAAGCTCCATTCTTTTCTGCCTCTCCTCTTCCTCTCCTCTTCCACTCCCTCTTCTCTCCATCTAGCCTCTGAGGGTCTCGTCTTTTCCGATTCACACCTCTACAGGGAATCCCTCGCGGATGACTCACTGAAAACACTTCCTACTGCACAACGCAAACAGGCCTGGAGGCTAACAGCAATAGTGGGGACACACACACACACACAAACACACACACACACACAGCAACAAACATACACATGCGCATGTAGTGGATGCACAGAGTTTGCATCAGTTATCCTGTGGGTGATGAAGTGGAGCAGTGGGGATGGATGTGGCTTTTGAAAAGTAGAAGTAATTATTTTTCAAGGCGCATTAAGGTCTCCCGCAGTGGCAACCGCTATGAGCTCTGCTCATTTGATACTGGGGACATCTCAGGGGGGGGCAGACAGACAATCAAAACAACATAAAAAGAAAGAGAGTAAGATTAAAGTGGCAGCAAAAGACCGGCAGAGGGAAACTATGATTTAACAGTACACCAGGCGAAAAAGAACACATGTAGATTTTAAGAAGGGGCTGCTACATTCCTACTAAGACATGACATCAAAACAACTATCTGCCCTCTGCACTGGTGCAAATAATCTGAATAATGTCACTAAAATCAGCTATCTGCCCTTCACAGATGAATTGCACTGGTGCAGCATGTAACTACTAAAGAGCCCACATTGCATAAAGGTAGATGTCAATGTCTGTTTTGATTGTAAAGTAGGTCTTGGTTCTATATTAATACTGTGAAAGTATCAAAGCGCTCAGTCCACAGAGAAATGCACACAGCCTGTATTCAGAAACTGAGCCTCAAAACAAGCTGTCAGGACTTCTGTAACTTTGTGATGTCACAAGAAGGGAGGCTCAGAGCCTCTCTTCTGATTGGCTCATGACCTGTCGTTACTAGAGCTCCAAAGAGAAGCCTGAGAGAGGAGACTAGATTGATGTGGTTTTTGATCCTTAAAACCACAAATATATCTTCTTATAAATATCAAAACTTCAAATGAAACACAGGAAAAGTATAAAATATGGACCTTTAATTCACTTTTTCAACTCACTCTTAGATGTAGCCAGCTCATTTGACTTTTCCTTTATTTATTCTTAGTTTTACAGTAACCTGTCATCACCTGTCAGATTTGTCCCTGGCAGCTTTTTCACTAATCTCCAATTCAGTTCACTTGATGTTTATCTTTAATTATTTTCTCATATTTAAGACAGTGCCTGTGGCCCTGGTCCTTTAAAACAAGTGTAAACCTTTGTACTAACATGGAGCCCCGATGATTTGCAAGATGTTTTTGGGTGTCTCAGTTGTGATCACTTAACCAGAAACTGTTAATAGGCAAGTCTCTCAAAAAGTGATGTCATAAATTATTCACTCAATGAATTGATGTCTGCTCTCATTATTTTCAAGCAGGCAATTCAAAAGCAGACAGTGGGTTCTGTTTGTGCTAAAAGCTGCCACATCCTTGAGTGTGTGAAAGCGAATGGAAACAATTCAGAATGCATGTATTATGATTTATGGCTATCTCATTTGTGCTAATAGGCCTTTGTGCTGTGTGTGATCTCTCTCTGACTCAACTTGGATTCTTTTGACTGTGTATAATTATTCACACAAGTTGGATTGGGACTCTCGAAAAACCGTCTGTTGCTCCTTAGGATTGTGGAATTTTCTGGAAGGTGTTTATTGGAGTCAATTTTGGAAAGTGAGCAGCCGTCGTGACCTTTGATGGCAACAGCAGTAATGGCTGTCACCGCTGTGGCGAAAGCAGTGATTGGTGTCCTGCCGTACAAAGAGTTTAGGCTGTACGTGTGCATGTGTGTGTCCCCGCTGTGTGTGTAAGCACATGTCTGCGAGTGGTAATTACTGCAGTGCGATGCTCTGTATTTCATGGGTGTATTTAGTCATGAACTTTTCCAGAGGAAAATAAAACCAAAGTTATAGAATGAATCTGTAATATAATTATAATTTTATTGGGGTCTTTTTTTTCCTCATCCCAGTCTGGTCCTTCTAAATCAACAATCAGAGAAATTTTAAGTCTGAGAACCTTCATGAAACAGCAGGATCCTCTGATTAAAATGCCAAAAGACAATATTTTGCAGTATATTTGGGACATAAGTACTTTTCCACACTCATACTTGCACATAGATAGTTGCCATTAGAGAGTGATGTATGTGTTCCTGTGTGTGCATGTGAGCGTGGAGAGTGTAGGTCTATCTGTAATGGGCTTTTTGACTTAGGAGACCCTGGAAGTGGTGGGTCATTAAAGTTTACATAAAAGCAGACTAAGTAGCAGACAGGCAACCTCTCCTTCGATCTCTCTATCTCTCTCTCTCTCTCCTTCTTGACACCACAGAGACGGAAAGCAAACCACTGAAATGTCCGTGGCAGGCACGAGTGTGGGGATCCCGCTAGTGCAGAGCTCCACACAGCCTAATGTCTTTAACGGGTATTGAGGATAGAGGTAAGAAGAGTCGAGGATGATGAGGGAGTGAAAGGAGAGACAAGGAGGAAACGAGGTACCAAAGTAAAGGCAGGGCGGAAGAGAGAGAGAGAGAGGGAGAGAGAGGGGAGGTGAAAGGAGGGAAATACATCCTAGAAGGGGGTCATGAGTCTCAAATAGCAGGAGGTAGAGAGGCAAAAGGTGTTGTGTATGAATGGGCTTTCCTCTCCAGGGGAATCCCCTTCCATGACTAAGTGAAGCCAGGAGGAGGGAGACCCCATATTACCAAGTTCATCCACCCCCCCTTATCCCACCTCTGTTTCCCCCTTAACCCCTGAGGTGGTTAAGTGTAGACTGTTCTAATATAATGTGGCAAGTGTAGAAATTACTCCTTATTGTTTCTATTACTAAGAAAGTCATTTTTAAGAACATTTATAAATTTGGGGGAAACTGAGTCATGATTAAAGCTTGTTTTTCCTTCCCAGCGTTCAAACTCTTTTTGAGTGAGCTTTGTTGAAGCAGTACCGAAGCGTTCAAGCATTTTCTATTGATTCAGGCAATGACTCCAGTAGTTTCCTAACCAGCTGTTGCCTTCTAACTGAGAGGCGAGTCACCCGAATCACCTGACGGCCCACAGGGGACGGTTGGTGCATAAATAGTTGACAAGTAAACAACCGACATGTGATCTGGGACAAGTGGAAAGTGAGTCCCATTGTCCTTTGTGGTGTACATACCTATGATGATGTACATTTTCCATGAAACCCTGGAATATTCTGGTGATCAAATATCGGAATGGTTAATTGTTCTGTTTAAGTTTGCTAATTGTGTCTAACAGCCTGGAAAAGAAGGCAAGTGGGACCATTTAATTAGTATTTACTCCAGTTTATACAATTATGTTTAGAATTTATTTTTTTGTAAGTAATTTATACATTTTGGTTTTTCTTTATTTGGTTTAGTTCTTTATTCTAGTACTCTGGATCTGGCTTGTATGAATTTGTAATGTTTTGTAAACCCATGTGAGATGGATAGATAGTTGTATTTATGACATTATTATAAAAACTAGATTCATTCACTCACTGTCAAATGCAGAGAAGGTAAACTGTCTGTTATGAGGCCTATGTTTTGTCTGTTTTTTAATTTCACTATCCTGATTCATTCTATAAGTCAAAAAAGTGTAGATAATGTGAAGTATTTTTGTGTGTAATATGGGTTTGTGACTACAACCAACACCAGGAAATATAAAAATCTATGATTAATCAATTGGCTTTTATTATCAGAGGTGAGAAACAACCTTTATGTTCCTCCCTCACCCTTTCTCACTTGTTGTTCATCGTCATCATCACCAGTTGTGATTCAACAGACTTCGGAGGTATCACTGTGTTTGACCTTTGCATTGATTTAGTGGGTGCAATCAAGGAAATGATCATTCATGCAAACTTCATCAGTGGTGTTTTGACCATTGCTCCCTCCCACACAGGCAGGAAACGCATGGCCGAAAAATGTGGCCAAAGAAAGGAATAACCTCTTAACCTCGCGTCAGTGAACAACAGCAAGGATGAGTATCCAGCAGAACGGGTGGAAGAGTGAGCTGGAGAAAGTACACGAGACAGTTAAATGTCAAAAACCAAGGGAGTCCAAGGGAGGGAAAGACAGCAAGGGGGAGAGAGAAAGTGAGAGAAAGAGACATTGCACATGCCCTGGTTGTGATTCATCCCTTAACTTGTGGCGAGCACCAGTGAACAGGCAATGGAAATTTCTGCAAATGTAAATACGCTTTGGTTAAAAATATAGTGGCTTAATGCACACCACATGTGGCTCTCTGGCAAGGCCTGCTCTATTTTGACGGGAGGAGAGACTGAGGAAATGCGAGAGAGGCAGAGAGGGAGAGAGACGTTTGAAAGAGATATTAAGAAGGGAAAATTGAGACGCAGTAAACATGGTCTGTTGACTGGAGCTTACCCTGGGCCTTCTCCACGAACACCACCTTTGAGTCAGGGAGGAAGTTAAGACCACTCAGGAGCATCATTTTGCCTCCCGTGGCAGGGTAACTTTCCACACTCTGCTTCTCCACCAAGGGAAGCTCCTGTGCTGAGCGCTGGGCTATTGAAAGGAAACACACACACACACACATTCATTTCAATACAGTGCGTGAGCCCACATAAACTCACTGCTGATCTACATCCACCCCAAGGCCCAGCTCACAGCCAGTAAAACAGCAGTACTTGGTTGGTTAAACAGGCTTATCAACTTTATTATGATGATTTCATGACCCCTCGCCACGGGGTTTTAAGCCAAAAACTGCTCTTTAAATTACATCGAAAAAGGCAGACAGCGGATCCAAACAATATTTTCGTGGTCTGTTGCTTAGTCATAATTTTCCATCAAGAAGCCTACAACCAATCACCTGTCTCTGCTTTCTATAAATGTGGAAATGGAATTGGTGACCAGATTCACAGCCAGAGTCACATATATTAATTATCACATATCTACTTATTTCATCTGTTATCCCATTACATAATCATATAGGAGCTCAGTAAAACACATACAAAAAAAATCTTACCAAAAAAAACAACTCAAATTAACATCCACTTTGGACCATAAACTATAACGCCAGCTCCATCTTACCATGTAACTTTAATTGGCTTCCTTGGGTGCAAATAACATCACACCTATGCACACAAATGAATGACAAAGAAACAGAGGTTTCTTTCAATGCGCTCGTTCATCTGTGCCAAAACTGGGGCTGGCAAATGACCTTTGTGGAACCTGTGCTAATGGGGCAGTCTCACCACAATAACTTGTGCACTCAGTCATAAAATGCGAATTGAGATAGATAACACGTGTGTCTGGCATCATGCACAATGCATCTATTGCCTTGGCAAATTGCTTTGATCATATAAAGCTTATTGGTTGCAGAGGCACTGAATTTGCTCCAGCAAGTAATAAAATAGTAGCTCAGTTTATTGGATTAACAACAATAGATGCCACCTTTTGCTTAAGTGGAAAGCCAAGTGAAAAAGGCATGCCAGTTTGTGACTTTATCCCTGTGCATTGGTGTGTGAGACTTACAGCATTCGATGGGGTTGGAGGCGGTCTGCAGCGACACTGTCCTGCCATTGGGCTGGTTGATGTGCACTCGGAACACCAGCCTCACACGTGTGTTTTTACGTCCGATGTCTGTTTCCCCTTTGCGGAGCTCGATGTCCGAATTACGCAGCTTCAGGATCCCTGCACAATCAATTCTGGGACAGAAGCACGGAAGGGCAACAGTTAACACAATATTTTACATTATACAAGATAAATAGAAAGGTGGAGTTTGTTTTTTTAGTTTTAAGACAGACCTGTATTTTATTACAAAGCAACTGTATTGGGAAAGGAACTCTGCTTTATGTGCTATTACACAACCTATAATCACAAATGATACATAGAACATTTTCTTTAGAAAGGTAAGGACAAAGGGTGAAATAGGCTGATTTGATTATTTGACACTGACTATTTGAGTGCGACACTGAGCAGAGTTGCTGTGCATAAGATCAAGCAGTGAAGTCCCCCGCCGGTGTTACAGATCATGCACTGGAGGTTCACTCTAGCATGACTGTGTCATTATTAATCCAGCTTGTCATCAAAGACAGAGTTGGACATTAATGACTTCACATCACAGTTTTAAAGGGTCACAGTGGTCCAAGAATTAGCAGTTCTCTGGAGGAGTCCTCTGGACCGAACACACACCACGGCTTAACACTATCACACAAGGTCCCATCAGCCGCAGTCAGTATATACAAAGTCATATACCTCATACATTTAGGGCTTAAACCTCTCTTAATCATTGCCACATGTTTTCTACGCTGTCTCTCTTTATTTATTTCATTTCACAATTTGGGAGGTAAAGGGGTGAATTTTCTTTCCCTTTTCTCAGTGGAAAAAAAAAAAGCATTCGTTTTCAGACATGGCCTTTCATGAATTTAAATAAAACTAAAGTGGCTGGTAAAAAAAGTGAAGGAATACAAATGGGATATGGTTTGGCATTTCAATTATTTTACATGGTAGCTATTTGGGCACTCTTCCTGGAACATGGTAAATGTCAGGTTTTATACCGATCCATTTTTTCCCTTGACTTTGGTTTGGACAATTTGAATAAATAAGAAATAAAATAACATGTAATGCTGACTACCCACGGCTTATCAGCCTCACATGACATGTCATACATATAGTTTTAAAATAAACACAAGATGCTGGATGTCATGGATTAGTTTGAAGTCAGTTTCCAGGCCTATACAACCTGAGATGTGGGACAGTTACATTTTCAGCACAGAAATGTTTAGATTAGATGCCAGCCAGTGAGACATGTTCACCAAATTCTTCTTTTCTTTTCTAAATGTTTTTTTTATTTATGATCGTACAGTATGTAGAATTTACTGTAATTTGCAGAAGGTAATATATAACTTTAAATGATGTGTATCAGATGAATTTTCCTAGAAGAGAAAAGAAAGACAGATTGAAACTGTCTTTGACTGCAGTTCTCGACTGTCTGCATCCCACACAGCGAGCGAATGATTGCTGGCATGCGAGCAGCGAGATGGATGCTATGTTATCAAGACGACTGTTTAACAGTTCAGTGGAAAGAGACAGTTACAGGCTTTGCTTCGTCTTTGACCTTTCATATAGTTGGGGAAGAAATACAGAACTTTCACTCCTCCTTCTTTACCATGTGTGCTATTGACAAAGGGAAAAAGAAACTTCCTCTTGAATACTGTATACAATATCATATTCATCCTAAGGGAGACGTTAAGTCAAATGGGGGAAAGGCGTCTCAAAATATGATACAATATAAGGAATACTGTGGTATTGTTGGTTTGCAAGGCAGTGTGAATGTTAAATTCATCCATGCCCAACCAGAGAAGGCCACTGTCCAACAAGGAAACTCCTATGTCCCATAAATATCATTATAATCTCTCTCTCTCTCTCTCTCTCTCTCTCTTGCTCTCTTTCTCCCTCTATCTATCTTTCAATGTATAGAAAGCTGGACATATAGATAGACAGAGAGAGTAAGGAATGATTACAAGATATATATTTTAAAATTTGCAATGGTGAAGGATGAATTTAATGTGCAGCAAGAGGTAATGGCCTTATATAACCTATGTTCATATACAGTGGTTTTATCCATAACACAGAGTTCTGGGCCCGAGTCCAATAATTTCACTGCTCCCTTGTCTGAATGGAGCCCCAGGACAGGAGCCACAGCCTGGACACACTGCAGAGCACAGCCCCTTGGATTACTGCAAGGCTGGGGGGAGGACAGGAGAGGCCAAGCCAGATTTACCTCAGCCTAGCAAACTTGTTTTTAAAAGTAAAACCAAAATTATATTTAGTACTTCTTCTGATTCTAACCCCAGCTTCACAAAGTAAAAGACGTCCGTTAAGTTGAGCTCCAAGACCACCAGAACTAATACTGAGCGGACATCCACCCTAATTAGCAGACAAAACTATCTTACTGTAAAAACAAAAAGTTACTGTGTCACAATAAGCTAGGTTTCATACTTTACTGTCACACAGTCAAAGTTTCCTTTTTGGTCATGGTGCAGGCTGCCACTGCTCTAACAGCTGTTCATTTGGAAACAGGTCTTTTTGATGAAAGACATTTGACATGTCACAGTGGAAAAAAAACACAGGTGAGTATGATAATGGTAATGATACCTGAATACCGTTCAGCTATTTCGTTTGCAGTATCCTGCAATTGTACAGGCTGGCTAAATGTCATGGCTTCCTGCAACACTTTAACAGAACAGAGCCATTGTTAATGTTATTACTAACACCTGGGCTTCTTCTGCTATGACAGTGTCTGCTGTGAAAACCACTTGTGTTTGTTAAAGTTTTACTGAGCATACGTTCAAGTGCAAGACTTAAATTATGCTACCGATTTATGCTTTTTTTTAAATTACTTTCATACACTTTAATGGTCATCAGTTGACATTGTTTTGCTGTTGCTAAATGGCTACTACAATTGCCAGTTTTGTTTGTCATGACTACAGAGTTTTTCATTGCACATTGCAGGCTACAGGGACCGTGGGACTCTCAATGTGTCGTGGCTCTAGGGCGGTTTTTATTTTTTGAGATATCTTTTGTACTTTGGACTTCAGTTTGGGCCCCTGGTCGGACATTTATTTTAAAGCTTCTTGCTGAACTCAGTGTGTCGACACTGAGTATATTTCACCTCCTTAGAAATCATGCATCTCTTGGGGTGAAAGCACTGCGTTTTTTTTATTTAGAAGTGTGCGCTGTATAGTACCTATCATCAGGCATTCTGTTTGTAGACTTAAAGCAAGGAGCAAAGTGCTGAGAGAAAGAAGGGTTTGTGTTTGTGTGTGTATGCTTTAAAGTAATGGTTACCAGAGGAAAATATGGAAAGAAAAAGATGGATAGGTAACTTGTGTGGAGGTCTCAGAGCACTCACATGGCTCTCATGTTGTTTTCAGGCAGCAGAGGGATCTCCAGAATTTTGGTGTTGGATTGCATGACTTCATGGCTGGCGGTGGAGACGGTTTTGCCGGTGATGCGGTGGACCTGGTAGAAGGCATGTGGTCGCAGGAGGCGGTCGTCTGCGGTCCCTATGAACAGCTGCAGGGTGAGCGGCTCGCTTTCCATGTAGCCATAAAGCTGGCGGGAGAACAAAGGGACCCAGGTGAGAGCCAACATCAGGTTTTAAGACCCCCATCTGAGGCAACCCCTCATTTAGTAAATAGAGATTGAATGCACATCGGCTACTGATAGTTAAAGGGGCCTTTAATGATAGCCCTGACATGGTAGAGGGGCTGCGAAAATAAGCCCCTTTTTCTTTGTTTGTTTTTTAGCTGGGTTGGAGACCCTTTTTCTGTGGTCTTTACTGTTCTTTTTTCAGCTAGTTCTACATTCCTTTAGGGGAAGGTGAAGAAAAAAGTTTTTTGATGTCTCTGGGTTTGCCTGAGGTAGGGATCTCCTGGGTACAGAGGTATGGAGGCTGATGGAGAGGCTGGCTCCCCATCACTTCACTGTTCATTAAAATCTCACTGCTGCTATTAAAAAAAAAAAGTGCCTATAGAGAGACAAGCAGTCGACAGAGACTCGCGTGTAAAGTGACCCTTAAAGGGACATAATAAGAAAGGACAATCATCTCAGGTCTGCCTCGAGGTGTAATGCTCACAGTTATCAACGTTTATAAAACTAGTGATTGGTCTGATACCAGCTTCCCTATGAGTTGCATCTGCAGGATGAAACCAAAATCTTCGGTAGACATTAAAACTTTAGTGTCAATAAACTAACCAACACGATGACATTGTGTTGTGTTCAACAAACTACCATTGGACGCAATGTCCAAATTTTCAAATTTTCTGTGATGAGTATCAACATACATTTAGAGTGTAATAACTGTTTCTGTATAGGTGCAGCACTTCAGCAAACTTTATCCCCATGTGATAGGTAATAACACACAAAAAACTGCATTTGGCATGCAGACAGATTCCAGCCCCTTTGCCTTTGGGCAGTTATGAACATGCATTATGATTTCCATTAAAGCTCAGAGACTGTGTCCCACTGTGATGAAAGAGACTCCTGTATCAGAACCACCACTTCAAACAACTACCACTTCCTCTAGCCTCCATTAGCTGCTACTGCTCAACTAATAAAAAGATCAAATCTTTAAAAAAAAAAAAAAAAAAGAGAGAGAGAGAAGAAAAACTCCATGGGCATGCATAGTTTTAAAAGTACTGTTGTCTTTGGGGTCAACAGCACTTCAACTCTGAACTGCCAATTTACATTCAGCATCCCTGGATCATTTTCTGACAATCTCTAAAACAACATAATTTGCTGGTTTGACCAAGTGTGTAATGGCTCAAAAATATGAACATACAGACAGGGTTGCAAATTCCAAAGTGTGGTGAAGGACAACTGATACTTTGTGAGTGATGTCTGACCAGAATAATTTGCCAACCAAATGTGGATTTCTGGTGGAACCGTGTCTTACACTGCGGACCTCCCAGGATATGCTTTCTCTTTACAGTGCAAAGTGGTCGTATGGTCATATGGGTGGATGTTGGTGTGGGCTTAGAAATCTCTCCAAACCTTAAAAAACTGTCAGGAACCTGCAAAATCCATCTGGTATGTAAAAAAAAAAAAAAAAAAAAAAAACTGAGAGGACTAACTTCTCATCAAGTCGACCTCCGTGGATCCACCCACGTGGCTACTCGACCGCATGTGACATTTACTGGGAGGGATCACTTACTCAAGACCAGGGCTCACCGAGTCATGGCCACCAGAAGAATCCCACAAATTGGTCAGTTACCCCAATTTTCTTTGAGCTCCGTCCCAGTGAAAACAGTGGTACCGTCAAATGGAATAAAAGACCCCTGTTGTTTATCTAACAGACTGAGTCATATAACAAAATGCAGACCACATGTAACCTATGACATAATCTGATTAATGGGTTTATAATTACCTTTACGAGGGTGGTCAGGGATGGGGGGTGTGAGGAAGAGGAAGGCTGGTGGAGGACGGGGGAACTACGTCATTAGAAGTCTGTGGAAATTAGTGCTGCAGTGTCATGGACACCTAATGTCTTTGGTTTGAGAACAAATTTGTCTGGATTCTGTATTAAAGTTGTCTGGCCTGATAATAAACATGGAGATTAAACGCCTTTGGTCTGTACTTGATGACAGATATTTTTGGATTTGGGACAAGGCAGAGGATTGTGTTCTTTTTCTTCCCAGTTCCACAATTTTCAGTATTAATTATGTTGAATAATAATAGGCCCTGACTAGTCAGTGTAGCAGAGCATATATCCATATGTCTCAATAAACTACGCACCAGTGGCTATCTGCCTTTGCTTTTTGATTCAGATATCAAGGGAGTGGTGAGGGAGCGGTTACGCTAAGGCTGTCATTCATCTCCCAGTTCCAACCGTCCTATTTTTCTCTTCACCTCCACATAGTGTCTCTAGCAGCTGTCTTGACCTGTGAGCTAGTCACACATGCTAGTCATCAGTGAGTTAGGCCGAGGTCAGGAGCTTCTTGAAGTCTTGGCATCCCAAGGGACCACTTCATCTATGCGGTGATCTCACCAGCAGACCCCGCTCTGCTTGTTATATTTTACTTATGGTGTCACCAGAAGTAATTATCCATAGCCGCACATGCTACCAGTTACTTGTGTATTGACTCTTGAGAGGGCTATAGCGGAGCATGAGGTACAGATCTGAAACACCGGAGCGTTAAATTGCATGACGTTTCCTTATGATTTAATAAAACGCAGGCAGCCACGCTACAAAGCAGTGTCATCTGTCACTTTTGCCTCGGTAGACTTCTTTGGATTTCTCAGTGACCTCCAACCATTACCTCAGCCGCCACGTGGCTGTAAGGGGGCCCGCAAGAGAGGCAAGAAGGAGGGAGGGAAGTGGAGGGGGGTGTCTTTATCCCTTCACTAGTCTTGCGGTAGCGCACAATGACGGTGGCGTCCTCACTCAAAGCCGTAGTGACCTCATGGAGGACAGGAAGTGATTAATGAGGTCAGGTAGTCCTCTTGGTGACGCTGGCCTTCCCAGCAGCGGAGGAAGGCAGTCTAGTCCCCCCTGGGCGACCTCCCTCGATTCCTTTACCATATGTGCTCCCCTGACCCTCTCCCTAAGGCGCCCCCCCCCCCCTCCCCCCCTCTTTGCTTCTGCTAAACTCCTGTGATGCTCACTCAAATGCACACCACAAGCAGAGCACAAAACTTACTTCTTCATTTTATTCTCAAAGGGGAAATAAGTTGGGGGGAAAAAGTCGAGATAGTGTCGTAAACTTTAAGTGTGGGCCTACGACAGAGGCTTCACACACACCTGTGACCTCAGCTTTGTATTTGTGTCTGACGCTGCCTGCGCGGTTGGACCACGGAGCCGCTAATTTTGAACAGATGAGCTTCTCGTGCTGTAACTGCAGCCTATCTGGCACACGTACTGTGTATTTATTTTGAGATAATCTAAACGGAGTTTGAATCTAGCCTTGATTTGCAGCTGTTTCAGGGTGCCAACTTCTGCCACTGTGTCAGCTAGATCCATTTACACCTCCCACCACAAGCCACTGGTGCACAAGCCATTTTTTGATAGCTGAGGCTCAAATAAACATTGTGGATATGGCAGCTGATGCATTAATTGTGTAATTGTATGCAGCTGTATTGTCTGGGTCAGTTGTGATGATGTGGGGGGGTGGGGGGTGGGGGGGGGTCGAGCTAAAAAGAGAGAGGAAGGGTGCATCCCAACCACTCTCCACCATTCATCTTCCATGCTCGCCTTTGGACCATTGCAGATCCATCATCGGTACAGAAAATTTCACTCAGTCATTCTCTCATTTGCTTCAATTAGGGACGCACATTCAGTTGTGCAGTTATAATGAAATTATATATATATATATTCATAACACATTTTATCCCTCAGTCTCTTCAGTAATACTGACATTCTTCATGCTGCCTGCACCTGGCTTCAATAGTTCAAAGAAAGGATTTGAGCATGTACTGTTTGATAATTACTTGCTGGTAAATTAGATGTGTCTGGCCTGGCTAGAAATTGAGTGTGAATACACTCCACAGGCCTGCACTGGGCTGCCTTCTTTCCCTCTGCAGTGATTTCATCACTGCCTGGAGAAATGTCATGACTCGTAGAAGTCCACGTGGCGCAGAGAATTGGAGAGGGGAGAAGGAGAAGACGACTGGAAGCAGCAGAGGAGAGGAAGGGGGAGGGGGGGGGGCTGAAGCAGGGGAGGAGAACTACAACAGCAGATTCAGGCTTTTTCCCATTATCACGCTCCCCTCTTTCTGTCAAGTGCTGACAGTCACACAGCCAGCCTTGCTGTACCCAATTAAATGTACAACTCATCCAAGTTGTCTCTCCTTCCAGACTTTACTCCATCACCCCCCCTGCCCTGCTCATGTCTCCAGTCGCTCATATTGAATGCATAAGGCAACATATGCAATCCTTTAATGCGCAGCGTTTCCATGGCTCCAAATGCTACTCCTTTTATAAGCAACCAAACAGCTATATCCCTCAAAGTTTTTGTTGAACTGAGTACTTTGGTGTTATGTCATTGAGGGCATAGTTTCAAGCACTAGCCCATGTCTAGACCAGCGAGGGTCCAAATTCCATATAAAAAAGAATGGCTTTGTTACCAGCACGGTCTGCCATAAGAAATATCATCCAAACCTACAGAGAATTTGAGTAAGATGATGCACGGACAAATTCTGTACCCCCCGATAGTACGACTGCCACCAGTGTCTTACCTCATAAATCTGTGGGCTGTCTGGTTATTACCTCAAACTAGTGAAAACGATGCGCATTTCGCTCCGTTTTTCCACTTGTTATTAACTGGTAATTAGTGGTAGCCCAATACCAGTGTAAGGGAAGCCCCGCAGATGGAGAACCACAATTTAAGAGTGGCATAAATACCCCTTTGGGCAACGAATAATAGCCCTGACTAAGCTCTAACAGCACTACGGGGTACACCGAGCCTTTTGAATCTCAAACAAGAGGCGGCAGTAGATTTAATGAGCAATTAGCAGCTACAGTATAGGGTGCTGTAGATCAGGGCTTTTCTTTGAGACATTACGCAGCCGGATCCCAAGGTGAAACTGCACATGCGGAGAACCGAGCACATGTTCACCGCCGTCTTTTTATGTCACTGTGGCGGGAAACATGCGAATTTGACGTGCATTACATACAGTTGCAGGGGAACGGAGATGGGTATTAAGTCACGCACACATTAATGGGGATGATGGCCACATCCTGCTGAAATTACAACCGTGTCTGTTGCTGCTTTAGACTTAATGAGAGAGTGGGTGAGAGAGTGTGTGTATGTATGAGGGGGTAAACCCTATAGGCCAGTCATTATCCCATATGAACTGGCCATATGCATGACTGCGCTGCGTGCTGGGTGATAGGTTTAATACTCCACAGGTGTTGTTGTCTGCTGTTACCAAAGGGCCTGGCGGATGTCTGTGTGCTTCCTGACTGAGTTTGAACCCAAAAGCCCTTGCAACATCTTCATCTGAACCCACATATCAGATCAAAGACGGGTCACGTCCTCTGTAGCTATATTCTCAATGAAGAGATTTCGGCGTGATTCCACTTTTTTTCCCCACTGTTCTCCTGTGGAAAAAGCCATCAATCATTGTCACGGCAGTCTTCTGAGTGAAGTTAGACCAGGTTGCTTGGTTTTCCTGAGCACAGCTACGAAAATCATCCTGTAGACGTTTTGGCATAGCTGTGGTGAGAGAGGGGAGCGTCTGGAGCAGTGTGAGAGGAGCCGATAGAGTACCCTCGATCCCCTTAATGGCGCTGTGGTCTGCTGCAGTAAATAAAGTGGAAAAGCAGCCACGGGGGTCACAAAGTGGACCAATCGTGAGAGAGGAAGTTAAAAGGCTGCGGATGTGGAGGAGGGGACGGAGGGATGGAGTACGGGTCCAGAATAAATGAATGAGATTTGGAACAGGAAGTGCGGATAGCCGGTGCAAGCTGCAGAAGGGTAATGAGTCGAGGTAACCCGTAATCTAGAGGTTTTCGCTGGTGTGCGGCCGGAGTTAAACCACTCCATTCTCCCCACGCACCCATCCCACAAGCTCGCCATCCTGCGCTGAATGTGTTGTGGTTGATCTGCTGCAGCTTAGGATGATGTCAGACCTTAGAGATGCTAAACTTTACTGTGTGTATATCAGGGAAACACCTTGTTACTGGATAGCAAGACAGCAGCAGTAAATGAGCAGGTGAGTATTTTGGTTTAACTATCTGTCAGTTGCTGGCTCTCTGGGGGGGGGCACGGTAAGGTATAGAAACAGTGTATCCCTTCCTGTTTTTCATCTTGCTGTTTCCTCATCCAGTGCTGCTTTCCAACACACATGTCACCATCACTCACCGCGCGTGTGTCTGATCACCCATGAGCTAAAAAAACAATAGAGCTGTGGATGACTGGGCTTCAGCCGAGGGAGGCCTGCTGCTGCGGGTTTGGGAGATGGTTGAAGGATGAATGGTTCACATGGAGCGACATCCTCAGGCCCCCCCCAGGGGGTGGGGGGTGGGGGGGGCAGGCACCGGTGCGTGGAAAGAGGAGGTGGCGTCTGATGGGCGCTGGGATTCTGACTATTATCCACCATCACCCCCCCACCACAACACCGCCCCCCCACCACCACCACCATGCTCAGCCAACCTCAGGGCCACCCAGGCCCTAATCAGCAGGATACAGAGCATCTCCAGGGGCAGCTGAGCCAAGCCCCAGCTGCCTGGTGACTCCCTCCTGCCCCTTCTCTCTCTTTCTCTCTACTCGATCCAGTATTAAGCACAAACACACACGCACGCACACACACACACACACACACACACACACACACACACACACACACACACACACACACACACACAGACACTTCCTTAGCTGCTTCCTACACCCGTGCCCTAGTGTCATTATTGACTCATTCTCCTTGACTGCACCTCACCCATCCAGCGCCTGCCACTCATTACCACAGGGCACTGGGGACTACAGCATGCCCTATCCTCCAAGATTACAACAACACAATTTCACACAACTCTACAGCAGAGACTAAGACAGTGATAAAGATTAAGACACCCATATGTAGAGAAACCCTGTGCTCGAACTGTGCAAAAACTCTCTGAAGACACAAGACACTCTCTTGTCCTATATTTTACCCTCTAGCATGTACACATGATTGCCTAATCCTTATAGATTTATCTTTCTGCCAACTGCTATGCTTCCAGTGTTGTCCTTGTTATGAGACCCTCCAGATATCCCAATCGACTACAAATGCAATATCAGAAGCATAAATCACTCCACACCCAAAAAGTAAGAGTAAAATGTAAGCTATGCTCATCTGGGGGGGGGGGTGATGGTAAAGCAGCTGTCATCATATTTTCTCCATGACTACTACTCATTAATAATTTCTTCACATACACAGTAAGACTTTAAAACATCCCCGCAAAGCAATAAATTGGTGCCTGTGTAGTATGAAATAAACAACCCAAGTCATCACTCTAAATGTGTGTATTGCAAAGACACTGACGCTGACTCATGACTTCTCACCCCCACCCCACCCCCCCACCCCCCACCCAAGTGAGTCATAAAATGGCATAAACTAAATCAAGATCAGTCTCACCTGCCGCAGCTGTGCATGGCAGGCCGAATCTGGGAGGTGCCAGGGTAAAATGTTGATTCACTCGCATCATGTTGGTATACAAAGGTTTGAAATGAAGGGGAATAATTACCTGTATTTACAGAGAAAACCTGAGGGTTGACAGGCCTGTTTATAGCACCACATAGGCCAACAGCTGTCAAGTGTGTTTGACATTGAGCAGACCGGGATGTGTTGACAACATCTATTTACAAAACAGCTGTGGCGCTAACAACGTCTAATGTTAAGTGTGCAACAAGGATAGACCACCAACCTGAGCCTGTGCTGCCCCAAAAGAAATGTTTTCTCTGGCTGCGTGATGAATAGAATTCTTAATTTGCAATCTAAAACATTTAAATCTATTCTTTAACAAAGCTATAACCAATGAATGCCCTGTCATTACTGGGTTAAATACAGTGTTAGTTTGAATTGAAGGCAAATTGACCCACAACCCTGAGGACACACACACACGTCGCTAAATCCCCACCTTAAGTAAACTAAGATGTCAGCACAGTGCGATGACAGTGTAGCAGAGAAAGGAGCTCTGTGCTGTGCTGCTGGTGAGACTGACGTGTGCTCTTTAAGTGTTCGCCAAGTACAATAGTGAGAGGCGATGTTCCTGCTCTATACTAATTGAGTCAGCATGCACTGCTGCTGGTCAGAGCGACCTTTTGCAGCAGTAGATTGACTCCCGGCTTCAGGGAACATTAATAACATAGCATACAAGCACATACAGAAACATAGACTGCGGTTTGGATATACTGCACTGCTGCTGCCAGAAGTTACAAACAAGACCAGGTCAAAACCTACACATATATATATATAATAATATATAATAATATATAGTAATAGTAATATATATATAAAGGAAAAATGTTGTGGAACTGCTGTAATCAACTACTTTCAATAGAAAGTACCTAAAGCCTACTTCAACAGTCGCTAAATGTCGCTAGATAACGAAATAAACGAATTAGCATTTCCATGACATTATTGCGTCGTATTTGCATTCCGCCAAGTATCAGCCAGTCTCCGCCTTTTATCTGTTTGCTTCTCTCTCTTGCCACTCTCTGAGCTCACAATACAGTATATGTTATTATTAACACTACATGTTAACCAGCAGTCACTTCCAAGCCGGTCAGCTGAATGAGAGGCATAGAGAGGTGTGCATGCGGAGGGAAACCCTGATCCAATGGTCGCCACATCCTTATTTGAAAATAAAGGCGCTAAAGAGGTTTGAAAAATTGGTACATGTATCGTCAAATGCACTAAGTTGGCAACACTGCCTGTAAATGACATAATAATAATTGCAGCACTTCATAGTGAAGGAGCAGTGGCCAATGAGGAAACTCCAACCAATGGCCAAACTAATGGTGTAACTTCATCACTTAGTCAGTCAGTCTGTCACAGACACAAATAGCTTTTTCTAGGGCCAGTGGTCTTTTAAAATCTAGAGATCCAGCTCGACAAGGTTCCAACAATAAATTCAAATCTGATTTTAAGAATCACTGACAAAAAATTGACATAAATTTCATAGCTGTGCCGACTTTGCTCTATGACTACAAGCTGTCATAAAGTCTGCACCAGCCAAACATCCACGTCACGAGCTTGTTGTTGGCCAGAAAAAAATAGCCGTTAATCAGCCCACACTTGTCTGCTTGGTACTACTTATGCTGTAAGGACAGCAAATTATTACACAGTTTAAACACACAAAGCCAACCTTGATTCAGTAAACAGTTGCTCTCTGCGCATATAATGCTGGTGACGTACCTGTACAACAGGGTGTCCTCCGGAGAGCGCCTTCACGGCCCCTCGGCTGCCTTCAGTCTCATAGTGGGCCCTGTGGTGGGACTTTGGCTGCACCTCAATCTGAAGGTTGTAAGGGCCAGAGCAGGACGGAAGCTGCCAGTCAAGAGCTGGCAGGGATGGGCTGGAATAACATGACACATTGCTTGTTATTAGGATAAAGTAACGTTATACAAAATATCAGCTGTTTTTTTACTGGGCCAGTGACTGACATAATAGTGAATTAACTTCTATCTAGTCCATGAAAGATTTACAATTCTAGTTATCTTTCCTGAAAAACAGGAAGTTGCTTGTTTCACATTTCCAGTTTTCTTGTAATTTAGGAGAATGATTGTCCTTTCCTTCTTTTTTCTTTGTTTTGATTTGATTTGCCAGAGCAGGAACTGTGAGGTTGCCGTTTTTCCACGGTTCAATAACTGCCAAGGAAGTGCAAATCAAAAAGTCCTAAACTTGCTTTAAATTAGCTTCAAAATTAGGACACTTAAGTGTAATCCAACTAGCTTGATCCTTCTCCATTTCATCATGGTCTATAATCTAATCAATTGAAGTCATTCACTGACGTGTGTAATTCCTTGGGTCTGGGTAATAATTAGAGTCCCTTTTTTTTTTTTACAAAAAAAAATAAATAAATGAGAGTCAAATGTGCCCTGGTTAGAGAGCAGTGTGTTTTTTATTATGGTGTGACAGGTGGAAACAGACATGCAGAGTTAAGAAAGTGACAGCGGGAGTAAAGACATTTCTAGGGCACAAAAACAAATTTCACACCAACTGGCAACCAGCCTGTCCTTTGATACAATTATTATGCATTCCATATTGATAACTGTAAAATTATAAAACACAACCACACTAATGCTGCAGACAATGGAGTTATACAGTGGAATAAGGTCAGCAGCACACCCTGCCTTGGAGCATATCTCTTTCTCAGAGCTACAGCTGGCCTCCCTTAACATCATTGTTCAGATGCAGAGCCAGAGCTTCCCATGTGAACACCGTGGAGATATCTAAACCAAAACAAACATGTGCAAGACAATATTTCTCTGTGCCGGATGCCTGGTAAACGCAAACCCCTGACCTGAAGGGTGGCTCAACTGAAACCAATCTCTGGCATCTTTGTGGAACTTGCAGGCTGTTTGTTGACCCAAAACGAACTGATTTCCCCCTGCAGGGCTTTATCTGCCCAGTCGGTGCATGACATCACGTTAGCTCCACAGAAAGAGATGGGCTGATGGCGCGGCGGACCAGAGCGGCAAGCTGCCTGATTAACTCACAGACTGCTTCCCCTTCAGCTAGACCTGTCACCATTACTTCCTGTTGCTCACTATCTTAATCAAACACTTGATTTCCGACAGGAAAGAGTGTCATTGGCTTGGAAAAAATGTTACAAGGTACACATTTGAAATCGAAAAAACTTACCTTGTTCAAAAGTAAAAAATCAATGACATAGCTGAGTGCATGCATATACGTGTGTATGTGTGTGTGTGTGTGTGTGTGTCTGTACGTGTATGTTTGTGTGTAGGTTGCTTTAGCAACAGTGGCACACACACACACACACAGACATACACATGCTAGGCAACTCCTCCCTGTGAAATATGATTTATGAAATAGTTTTGATCTTCAAAGAGAACTCTTTTGGAAGTGAAGAGCATGCAACTTTTGGATTTCTGCCTTTTGATATGGCCTTTGAAGATTAAAAACTAAAACAATCTTGTCCTTGCAATGAATAAATTACGCTAAATGTGGAAACGAAAAGACAACAACGGAACACAGTGGTGGCGCTACTGGATGAATTGTCATTCCTTTGCTGGGAAAAAGTAGTCCTTAGGCAGAACGTTAGAAACCATAAATCTGTCTAAATAAGTAAACGCTTGTTTTCGCTTCATTGTCTTGGCACTGCAATTTAGAGGCAAGACTGCGGGTTGGGTTTTACACTGACTGGTTCAATCATCTTTGAAATCACAAGTGCTTCATCTTGTGGATTTTTGTGATTAACTTTGGTACAGAACGACTTAGTTTATTCAACAGATGCCAAAGCAGTGTCACCTACCTGAGGTAAGGCTTGGGTTTAGACCAGGAGTATGGGTGCTGGGGCACATCCAGGAACCCTCCACAGTAGTTCTCCTTCTTGAGGGCCAATCGGGAGGGGTAGTCCTCATGGCAGAGCTCCCCATCGGGACCCAGCTCCTCGCCACCCGGCTCCACCTTCAGGCTCATGGAGGGTGAGTGGTCAAGCATTGTCTTCCGTGTCTTGATCGGGATTCCCTCCCCCATGTCTATCACTCCGTCTGTGGTCAGAGCGTTGATGGCGGCCACGATGGCAGAGTTGGTGTACTGGTTGGTGTTGGCGAGCCAGTTCTCATCTGTGACGCTGACCCTTGGGGAGCCATGCGGAGAGGGGATAGGAGACTGGTTGGGTGAGCAGGATGTCTGACGGTAGGGGGCACCGTTGAAGCTGTACTTTCTCTTGCCCACCCCACCACCTCCGCCGTTGCCTCCACCGCCTCCACTGCAGGAAGGGGAGTTAGGCCTGGAGCCACGGGGTTGAGCCGGCCATCCTTCCTCAGCCATGGCTCCTATCTGAGGGGAGGTGGAGGGCGAGTGGTGAGGGGAGCCTGCTGGGCCGCCGGCATGTGGGCAGGACAGAAGTGAGGACGAGCCTCTGGGAGACACGCATGGAGACTGCCAAGGCGAGTTCTGTGGGGAGTTGTCGTAGTTGTAGAAGCCGGACTCATAGGAGGACGCCTCAGAGTTGCAGCTGCGTGACGAGATGCTGCTCGCAGGGCTGAGGCAACTGGGGTCACGGTAGCCGTCTGCGTTGGGCAGCGTCAGCGTGACGATGGAGTTAACGCCTCGTTTGATGATGTGGTCCTCGCTGCTGCTCTCTTCCACCTCATCCTCGGGGTACTGGCTGTAGGCAGTGATCTCAATACGGGGGCTTTCCAAGGCTGGAGCCCCATTGGGTCTCAGGCCGTGGGGCAGGTAATAGCCTGATGCTGCATGGTTATCATTCTGGAGACTGTAGCCTGTCTGGTGGCAAGAAGAAACTGAGATGACTGGGCTGGTCTGTAAGGTGTGGTACTGGTTGGCCAGACAGGGGTTTCCCATGCCCAGTGGAAGGGACAGGCTGACATTTGGTGTGTAGCTGTATGCATCTGGAAAAAAAAAGAAAGAAATATATTTTAACTGTGGAGAAGTATAGTGCATGACATTATGGTGGTAATTAACTGTGATTACATTTTAGAACAATACCCCTACACAACTCTCAGCAACATGTCTTGCAGCGACTTACTGCCTCCTTTCCTTATAAACATCTGGATAAGCTTAGCAATCATCTCAAAGCGGTTACTGTATGTGGTTGCTGTGCAGTCGCAAGTTGCACAGCCACTCTGTTTGTTTGATCAGTTCATCTAAGGCTCTATTTGGCACATCCTGCTGTCATATGTACTCTACAGGAATTCCTCCAGCAGCGCTGATGGATGCTTTATTTGATTGATTGCATCACTCACTGAGTGAATTAGGCCCTCCCCTGTGGAAAACTGACAGCACTCTCGCATCGCTCTGAGCTTCTGATTAAGACAAAGAGAGTTTGCTGCAGTGTTAAACACAGATGCACCGTGGCACACACATACACACACACACACAAACACACACAAAGAGCACGCACAAGCTAGCACAAAAGGAAATCATAGGCAGACAAGTGCAGTGACACACAAGCACAGTCAGTGGGAGCACATAGAGCCTGGCAGGTATGCTGCTTCAGTTAGCCTCGTAGCAGCTGGCTGCTGTGTCAACAGTTGTAAAACTCACGTCTGGCTTTTATTGATAATGTCAATGAGTATAAAAGTAGTCACAGAATGAATACCATTCAGTCAGAAACCCAGTGAAGGGCATTCCCCTTGATGCAGCGTGCTATATTTGTTAACCACAATGCTGCGCATCACATGAAGTGATGAATCTGTCACACACCGCATAATATATGGGCAGGCAAGCTAAAATTAGTTTATGAGATTCTATTTTCAGAGGTGATTATGCGATATGCATCAGACAAGTTCAGCACACAACAAGTGAGGCCTCGGATTTTTTTATAAACAACCAGGAGATAATATCAAGTGCCAGATCTTGCTTTTAAGAATTGAGTGACTTCCTCTGTTTGGCTAACAGAATGCTAGACGTCAGACCCTTTCATAACCTTTTCACTCCAAAAAAAAAAAACACTCACTTCAGTCATTTTCCTCATGATCCAAGAATACAAAAAAGTACCCACCTCTCTCAGGTTCATGCTGGACACCTCGGCTGTGATCAAACACATAGCTGAAATCAACCTCTTGCTGTTTATTCTGGAAACTCATCTCCACCCCAGTGATTATACACTGAGTTTCAACATAAAAACTAGTATGCCTTCAGCTCATTCTCCTCTGATGCCTCTCTCCTCTGGTGTACCTTCTTCAAGTGCTGAACAGATGATAATCTCCTGCCCACTCCACCCGTCGTGACACACCCCTTTACTTCAAGCCTGACTGACTTTGCTTAGAGTTGCAGCTGTTTTTTTTTTTTTTTTTTTTTCCTTTTGAACATGTGTGTGATCAGTGCACCACACCGCAACATACTTCACTTCTTCAAACACCCACTCAAACACACTGGAGCTTTCACTCTTGTGCTGCTGCATGATCTTGAAACTTTGGGCTTTTCCTGGTTGCACACACACACACGTCATGACTGCTGAACTAACAAAAACTACACCAGATCATAATTTGTGGGATAAAACAAATGAAAGAAAAATAAAAATGACTCACTCTTGCACTCAAGGCAATGCTTATACAATTGTTTGCACTGGGTTCAAACTGCGGTGTAAGCAGAGTTAATTTGAAAACACTGGCTATCACACAGATTATAGCGTGCTCTTTCTGTCCTCCACAATTTTTCTCAATTATGCTATCACGATCAAAACACTCTCTTCCCCACAACCAAACCAGCATGACTAAAGAATGGATGGGTTTATCCACGGGGATTGTGGTCTAGGCTGGGCTCAGACTGACGGGACCTCAGGGAGAGATAGGTGGTCGCCCACAGAAGTCATCTGCAGCCTGTGGAACTAAGAACCCTGGGGCCACTTATTGCACATGGCTGACTTCGGGCTATGGCAAAACACCAGTAGAGTGTGTGTGTATGTGTGTGTGTGTGCCTGTGTGTGCTGGTGTGTCTATGTGCCTGAGTTTATGTGTGATAATAAAGCAGCTCTCGGCATAGTGCTGAAGCTGTGTGTGGTTAAGCATGTCTCCTTGTCAAGCAAGTTACCCGGCATCCCTGAATGCACACATCACAGCTTTCTCTCTCTCTCTCTCTCTCTCTCTCTCTCTCTCTCTCTCTCTCTCTCTCTCTCTCTCTCTCTCTCTCTCTCTCTCTCTCTCTCTCTCTCTCTCTCTCTCTCTCTCTCTCTCTCTCTCTCTCTCTCTCTCTCTCTCACACTCACACACACACACACACACACTCACACTCAAACACACGTCTGTTACCAATTATAAGGCTAAGACTGAGGGACTGAAATGAATAATAATACAGCCCGCACCCGACTGTCTGTAACCTCAAAGACAAAATGAAATTCTCAAAATCCACAAAAAGCCCATGACTTCAGCACTGGAAGACAAACTATCAATGACTTCTGATGGACCAAATCACATTTTACTACCATAAAAAGCTGAATCAAAGAACTTAAAAAAAAAAAAAGAAACTTCCTTTTAATGGCAAACCCAGGATGAACCATCCTCTGTGCCGAAGTGTCTCTATGCAAATCAGAGAATCCTTAGCAGCTCCTGAGGGCTGCTCTATAGTCGACCCCTGACCTCTGACCTCTCTCAGTGCATTGGGAGATTTGACAACCCGCCTCCTTTTTAACATCATAAATTTCACATGAATCTTTTCTCTTATCAAGTTGAGCAGCGGCAGTGTAACCCCATCAACATTCATTACACATGATGAGAAGCACCTGCAAAGGACAGCTGGAGACACCTAATGGTGTGGATGTAAAAATGGCTGCACTCACACAATTTACAGCTGATTTGATCCCCCATGCTGAGCAACAAATTTAAGTATAAAAGTGGACACAATTTATGTGGTGACATCTTTACAAATATCTCACATTAAATGAGTATTTATAGATTATTAAGGAAAATGTTTATGGTTTTAACCTTTAATAAATAGAAATCATTTATCAAAGTGACCAAATAATAATATATTGTCAGTCACTCAACAGTTAGGCTACTCAAGTTTGTACCCAGATATTTACAGGTGTGTTTATTTAATTATTTATCTACATGCATTGATCTTGCAGTAGAGTAGCAGATTATAGGCTACGGCCGTAATATCTGCTCAACTAATGCTTGGCATAGACTTCACTGGGGTGCACAAGCTCCCTATCAGTTTGCATTAGCCGCAGCACGTTATGGCAACACATCTTTAAATCAAATGAGCACAGCAAAGACAGCAAGTTCGTATGTGAGCGCCTGTTCAAGCATTCAGTCGGACTTGAAGCGTTATATTTTACCTTCCTCTGCAGACTTCATGTTGGCGAGTGAGGTGAGAAGCTGGAGTCCCCGCTCCTTAGCGACTGTTGCTCCAAAGCTGAACTTGGATTTGACGCTCAGGCAGAAGGTATCCTGCATTCAACAAGCGATGCGCAACTTTTTTCTTTTTTTTTTTTTTTTTTCCGGTTGTGAAGACTGTAAAAAGCAAACACCTTCAGCGACGGTAGTATTGCAAGAGTTGGTTTCACTTCATACACAATTAAATAAAAGCATAGCTCGCAAAGAATTTCACGAAAAAAGCGCGTGCACAAGTTGGGAGCACACCGCGGTGGACCGCGCGCTCCAGATGGACGGGGATAAATATTGTAGGCTACTGTAATGGATCTGGAGAGCGGCGCAGGTAGGAGCTGTTGATGGGACCGCGGGTGAGGTGAGTTTGGCTCTCTTCAGCTCAGTGAAGGTTTTCAAGAGTCTCCCCAGGTCGATGACGCAGCGCGGTTTGTCAGAGGGGCCGGCTCCGGTGCTTTTAAAGCTGGAAAACACCCTCCGTCCTTCCGTTAGTGCGCCGCCCATCCAGGGATGACGCGGCCGGCTCCTGCAACCTCCTGGACCGCCTGATGATGTCTTCCACCCTGGGATCCCATCGGAGGAGGTGGGAGGTGTGCGAGATACGCGTGTGAGTGTACACACACACACACACACACATTCACACACAGAGGGAGAGTGAGAGAGACCTTACCACAAAGTCAAGTTTATTTCTAAGGTCCTAAGTTTGAATCCTTTTTTTCATTGATTTGTGACATAATTCTCTGTATTTGTCAAATTGCAACTGATATTGTCACTAAAACTGTCCATAACACCTAATACTAATATTCACTCTTAGATTCAAATTGTATTTAAGTTCTAAAGTAACTTATAAAAGTTACAATAGTTACAAAATGGAACTAAGTTATTAATCGAACATGTATTTATTAATTATATTATATATTTATTATATGTATTTATTATAATATATATATTTCTACCTTAAATTCATTGAAATAATTGCCAGTTTATTCTTCTTTGGATTATCCAGGTGCCTTATCTTTGTGGCCTGAATTCTTATAATAAAGTCTATTTAAAAAAGCAATCTCAGGGAAATGTCCCCTTACTTGCTGTTCTGTAGATTTTGACTGTTGTTGTGTTATTTTAGATTAGAGTCACATTTTTCTGTCTTAATGATTTAAATTTTGACACTAAATTGAAATTTTATGAATGATATTATATGTGTTAAGTGTTATTCTGAACTTGTTTCTCCTAGATGGTAGTGCCTCCACAGGATTACCAATAAAGCGGATGAATGATTCCAGTATTATTGGTAGTTTGCCTGCTATTTAAACTCATAATTCAGTGGCAGCGACTGTATATTATTGGGATTGATGTAATGAATATACATTTTCCACGTGTTTTTGTGCAGCTGTCCCTGACCTTTGACTTCCCTAGAGGACGGGGAGGAAGAGGGGCGTCTCCTACACGAACAACAAGGTATCATATTGCAGCACATCTACTGATATAACTATAATGGCCTTCCTCGTTAACATTGTTATTATACGATCATTAACGTTACTCAAACATTCAACCCATTCCCCATGATTAAAATCCGAACTCGAATGCTATCAAGTTTCACTTCCAAATGTGTTTTCCTCGTGTTTGTGGGAAATACGGTTTCACAGTTTCGCCCAAAATAACCAACCTGAACCACTGACAGCACAAACACAACGTCTTCCTCATCTCTGCTTTCCACTGCGTTGTTTCAAGTGAGTCCCCAGTGAATCTGCGGGCACCGGGCCTAGTTCTTTGCCTATGTTAAAGGAAAATATTGAGGTTCACTTTACAGCTTATTTCCTTAATTGCACTCCTATTGCCATTAATCAGAGTAATAGTTCCTGTTATCTGACCGTGTTGTTATATGTTGGGGTCATAAACCGATAGAGAAAGGTGAAAACATACTGGTTAGATATGCCTGACATATGTTATATGTTCAAATATACCGTACATTCCTGAGCATTGAAATGCCACTTATCCCTGTCTGCCAACTGCAGTGATTAACTAATGGGAACACTTAAGCAATTGGCAGAATGGACACTGTAAGCTTACATTGATAAATTAAGTTTTAATTTGCAGTGATACGTCCCATTATGGTGCTTGTTGCCTCTTTTTAAATTAACAGCGTTTAATGAGCGGTAGAATTATTTACCCTCCCAATGCATAACTTTCACAAAACTCTGAACGTCTCCATGTGGGTTCCAAAAAGTAAGGAAATGATAATGACGAGTAAAAAGACGTCCATATAACAAGCAGTGCAGGAATATGGCTGGTAGCTGCCATGAGTGCAATTAACAATGGCTTAGACAAGCTACAGTGTAATTCCTTTTGAATGAAGGCCAGATTTGAAGAAAAAAAAAAAAAAAAAGACTCCCGTGAGTCTGAAATGTAGCTGGCAAGCTCGAGGATGATCACACATAATCAGAAGCAGACAGCCTTTTGGGGGCAGCCAAGGCAGGCAGGCTGTGGGGCAAGCGTGAGCAGACTGCATGGGGGGAAAGTAATAGTACGCTGTGTTTTCTTTGCCTACAGTAGCTCTCTGGCGTCAGCTGCGGCTTGGCCAATGTGCACGTGTGAGCTCAAAGATGAAAAAGCAGCATCACATACTTTAGGAGATGAATTATGATACAAACCAGCGGTAGGAAAAAAAAGCAGCTGCACGAGTGATTGGCACTTGTGGGATGGGGCTGCGCTAGTTGTTGAACAACTTTAAAACTCTGCGGTGGGGCATGGTTCAATGGCCGTCTGAAGGCTTATCTTGATGGATTCTCTGCTGCTGAGTAAAGTACCATTAACTACAGCGTCTGTCAACAAAAGTCAGAGCACTTCAAAACCATCTCTGCAGCGACAAACATTGCAGCCACCAGGTCATCAAGCACTCTATACTTCATTAGAGAAGATAGGGCTAATGTAAAAACCTGATGGTGTAATGCTTCACATGATGTATGTGTGTAGAACAACTACGCTTAAGTAACTTTACCCTTTCTTCAGGATCAGTTCATATGTCTGGCTGTATTCAGTGGGATTCAGCCTCAGGTTGGAATGCCCACTAAAGTTTAACTGTACATGAGGTAAGGATTTTATATAAAAAAATAAAACAAAACATCCATACTGAGACTGTGTAGACTTGCCAAGATAAACCCTATAGAGCTGCACACTTGTGCACATGCAGGAGGGGCCAAATCATAACTTAACAGAGGTGCGAATCCAAATTGTGTCTTAAACAGCAGCGAATAAGAAAGCTGGACTCACTTACGTTAGGTATTTTCTTTTTTTCTTTTTCCTCGTTACAAAGTCCCCACAGATGGGCCGAGGACTTAACTCTTGGGTAACTCTTGTGTCGACGACGTCTTGATTTGGTTCCGGATTGTGATGAGTTTCAAAACATCAGCATGGTTGTATAGAGAATTCGCCTTCGCTTTACATCTTCTCTGGAAATTGTAAGATTATAATTTATAGCTCTGCTACATCTGGCCCTGTGACACTGCACATACTGAGCAGCCACAACATGTCTGCGGAGAGCATTAGAGACACACTGCGTCTTGCGCTCAGATTTATGAGCGGCCTGCTCCTCGCTCGTGTCTCTCGCAGAAAGTGATCGTTGCTCGTGTCTTGTAAACAGAAACATGCTGCTTTTACATTTGCACAGATTAAGATGTCGCTCTTGTGTTTTTGTTTTTTCTTCTTCTTCTTTTTTTTTTTTTTTTGACAAAACTATTTCTCATACGCACACACGTCAGTACGTGCGAAAATCAAGATCAACACAAACTTCACTCCTATTTTCTTGAGGTTCCCTTGCTTTCCGCTCCTCTACTGCTTCACCCTGGTGCATCGCTGTTGAGGGACTTGGAAACCTTTTGCCAACAGTGCTGATGATATAATAAATGACAAGAGTGGGTTTTTCGGTGTGAGTGCTATACTTAATGCCAGCTTCTTTAATGTTTACTACCAGTGGTTTGGCCCAGGAGTCAGGCTACATCTTGGCATGGTCAGAAACCGTTTCTTAGAAACTCTCCATAAAAGATTTACACATAAAAAACTGACCAAAACTTGACAGGTATAAATAATCACATATAAAGCTTTCCAAGCTGTGGGCTTAGGCTTGTCATATTTGTTTGTCTAGACATCAAGAATGCTACCAGTTGGAAAAAAAAAGGGGGTTGAGACAGATATTAATATGGATATGGACACTAACAAGACATCATCTCTGCGATGCATATAAATTCAAGGCTACAAACCCAAGCTCTTACCTCAAAGCTGCACACTTAATCCTCTCCTTTTACAACGTATAATTCATGTTTGACATATCCGGAGAAATGTGTACACTGGCATCTTGAGTTCTCTACACTATTATTATCTATTTTCTAAGTTTTTCTATGTGCTGTGACTTGAATCAGGCAGCTTTCAATAGCTGTAAACACTCATTTATGTGCACGCTGTTGATACAAGTACATTACTCAGCCATGTTTAACCCTGCAGCATCGGCGGTGTAGCTGCTGCCGCCGCCGCCGCCACCGGCGTGGTTACTAGTCATCTCATTTGATTGTCGTCTAATGTGAGAGGTGACGGTGTTAAATGAAGAAGTCTGCGGTTAATAACGCAAGTTGTGAATGGCTGCGGTCATTTCCATGCTCCCATCTGGCATGAGTGTAGCGCACAAGTTGTACACACTTCCACACTTCTCCTTTTTTCCCCCCTTTGTTAGTATTTAGCTGCATGGAGGTGCATACTTGAGCGCTCCACAATAGGAGAACTGCTCGGAGCTATCTTAGGCATGTCTGGACACTGCTGTATGTTTAGCTACTGGCTTTTTTCAGAGATTCCTCTTATGAACAGGAAGTAACGTACAAGTCTGGCTTGTAAAGCGAAGGAGCAGGGCTGTCATCGTCACACGGGCGTTGACTAAGATCGTGTGCTGGTAAAAAATAGGGAAGAAACGGTTTGAGGCTGCTGCTTTGTCACTGTTGTTTACATGATGAACTCAAGATAGATCTTTTCATTCACATATCCCAGGGGTCCAGTCCCATTGTTGCAGCTTTGGAAAGATAAGTGAG